CTTGCCTTCAGGTTAGCTCGTTCGCTACGCTAACTCGCCTCCAGTTAAAGTTCGTTCGCTACGCTCACTCAACTTTTGGTTGTAAATTAGATGTTGTCATAAATTTAAAAAAATAATAGTGCTGCCCCTATTGGTAAACCTATTAACTTTTCAGTGCTATTGAACATCACAGAATAAAATTGTTTAGTTGAACCAGCTGTTAAGATTCTTTAATTCCATTTAAATATGAGTACTCATAAGGTTAATATGGGAAACTCCAGAGCCACTGGGGCGGAGCCCTTTTGACGGATCTGCACCAAAGCTCACACAAACCATCCTTGAATAATGCTTAATAATGCCTGAAAGTTTCATTACAATCTGTCGAGCGGTTTCGGAGTCCATAAAGGACATACATACAAACATACATTGGATTTTATATATATAGATGATATTATCTCAATTTCTAGCTGCACAACTATTTTCTGGAGTTTGACACTATGGAAGTGTACAAGTGGCAGTGAACTGATAGCCGAATGGTTATACAGTAATGTTCACCTTGAAATCTGAATCTAATATTGTTTCTGGCATTGATGCCATTTGTCATTGAACAATACAATTATTATGTGAAGCAAAAAGTGAGTAACATAACTAGGGTTTGGGCCGTTCCCTTGTTAAACAAGTGTATACATTGGCATCGATACAAACAAATGAATTAAATAAAATCGTGTTTAAAAATGTACAGTTTAATTAATAAGTCATTTATTTGACATGTTGTTTTATTGGTGCAAGCCTAACAAATTCTTTGCACGGCGTTAACCGTGATTTTGCTACTCAGCCGTGGAGCGGGTTGCATTTTGGATCCAAACGCTTGCCTCATCCACATACAGTATTACCACAGATCATAAAGCTCCAAAGACTAGACATCTAGTGTCCACGTTTTATTCTGTGATGGTATATGGGGGAAAATCTTCGAGATTTGAGTTTCGAAGTGGTTTCCCTGAGTGTAGATGTGTATGGAGCTACATACCCACCCCCGTCGTTCGATAATGATAACATTTAGTAGGTAACATATCTATGGTATCTCCAGAGTTTTTCATTTATCAATTCTAATTTTTGTAGACGATTTTCCATGAAATTCATAAAATAATGGAAAAATCATATTCGTTTAAAAAACGCCCCTATTTAGATTTAAAATTAGTAACCTATATAGTACTTTTGAAGGAAATGGCACAACCCCGAATGCTATAGTAATAACGGTTCAACTTAAGCGATTTTCCGAATAAATCCATATATAAAGCCCAAAGTACCCATGAACTTTTGAGAAAAATACAAGTCACATAAACCATACTTAAAATGATCGTCATGACGAGAAACCTTGCGCAATACTATACATTATCTCATAAATTGCCCTATAAGGTCGTAATTGCTTTCCAAAGGGAACTTTCCATACAATGTTAAAAATACTTCATGGACTTATTTGTATGTTATTCTTTCAATTACCTTATTAAAATCAGGTGTGATTATTATTGTTTGTATTACTGTATTCCGTTTTGTTTATTTCAGCTCAACTTAACCAATAGGCCTAAACGTTCAACGCTAGAAATCAGCTGTGCGCTTGAATTTTATTGTTGTGTTTTGAAGAATTTTGCTAACCTAGCTTTTGTTTGCAAATGAACGTTACTGTTAGAAGATGAGTGAAATGGATAATGAAAAATATTGTTCGTAAACTCCTGTATATTGTCGGGTCAGGTAAAATCTTGTACGTTAGACGTTACGCAAGAGCGTGTTTACATCACTTAGGTAAATTATGCAACTCGCTTCCGCTCGTTGCACAAGATTCACCTGTGTGATGTAAAAACGCTCTTACTACACTTGTAAGGTAAATAGCTATTACTAAACTTATGAAGTCAAACGGGGTGAAGCCCGTGGGTATCAGCTAGTATGTAAAAATCACATTTTAATGTCAAGTTGTCAAGCTAATGGGAGATACTGTAGTATGTGTCAGTTTGCTGATGCCGTTTGTTCCTCTAATCTCGAATTTATACCATATCTTGTAAGTACGGTTGAGTTTTAAAAGCTACTAAATCTTACATAGGTATAGAAACCATTTGTATTCCGAATGCTCAGTTGTATATAACGCATTTCCAAAACAATTATTTTAAGAATGCTGCGAATTGGTAATGCTACTGCGTTTGGGGAAAGTAATTTCATAATGGCAGAGTGAGAGCAAAAATCCCACGGGAATATCAGGAACATGCACATAAATGCGGCTCAGGTCCATTTAATTTGTTTGTTTCGCATACAATGTTCTACAATACAAGAATATGCGCGTGTAGAAAAAAGCCCTTGAAGATTCGTACTTTGACTATTGGAGGCTGTAGTAGACATCTATGGACCAGTTGTCACCAATTGTTTTAATTAAAAAGGAACATAGTTGTGTGAGCCAGTCACAGAATGCGTTACTGTCTAAAATTATATTTTCTACCTCATTATTGATTGATGATATAGTTGATGGGTCATAACAATTAATTGCTATGGCTCACAAAGTCGTAACATCACATTGACTTGGTAAAAAGTTCATGCATTCGACAGAAATCAGTAATTTACCAGCACAATCTGTCGGTGACTCTCATCAACTAAGACGATTTTGATGGAACAAAAACTGGCGACAACTTTAACATGGGGATGGAATGTCTACTCTATTAAGTAAAAGCATTAAAGTATTTAGTAAAATGTAACCAAGTTCCACTCAACAGTCTGAAACTCGTTTTTTGAACACACCGTCGCTTTTGCTAGGATGGACCTTTTAAGAGCGGGGTTTGCGGCACTGTGTTTTCCTAATAGAGACTGTTAATTTTGTGTATTGCTCAAGCTATGCTCTTATTTGAGATGTATTTCCAACTCGTCATGGACAGAATATGATGGAAAAACTAGTGGGCGTAAATATTATTTGTGTAACTAGTGGGTGAAGTAGCACCTTGCTGCACACAAGCAAAATGTTTACACACAAGCCGTAGGTGAGTGTGGAAAGTTTCTCGAGTGCAGCAAAGACAGCAATACTGGTGTGCGGAATTAACATCAAAAAACTTTGCGGCAAAAGTATAAAGTGTGCGGGAAAATAAGTGGATTTTAAGACAATTAGCAACTTTCTGTGCTATAATCAGTGCAAGGAAGGCTACATTGTCAGGTGACTGTAGGAAAAATACATTTTAGGTATGATATTTACTAGCTGTTACCCACGGGCTTCACCCCGTTTGACTTCATAAGTAAAACTATTGATAAAGTAAAACATACTCTATAATCAAAACTGAATACAGTATTACAAACAAATAATCACACGATATTAATAAGGTAATAAATTGAAAGAACAACATACAAATAAGTACAGCTGTGCTATTCTTAACATTAGGTATACGGAAATGTCCCTTTGGAAAGCAATTACGACCTTATAGGGCAATTTATGAAATAATTGAATTTTGCGCAAGGTTTCTCGTCATGACGAACCTTTTAAGTGTATGGTTTATGGGGATGTGACTTGTAGATTTCTCAAAAGTTCATGGGTACTTTGGGCTTTATATATGGATTCACAAAGCTTCACTGCTTTATCTACAAAAGTTCAAAAAACTTCTGTTCACAAAACTTTTGGTAGACGCTTTGTACGTAATTTAAGTCAGACGAGATCAACTGTTTTAATCAGTTTATTCAGTAAGTTTACACTCAAGGAAGCATCAGTAGCATCAGTCTTAATCAACTGGATACTTACTTTCAGCGTCTTGGTGTAGTGGTCAGCTTTCAATGGTGCTCGGTCCGATTAAAACTAAAGATTCCGTATTTTTTATTCTAATTTTTCCTATGATATCTTTTACTTTCACAAGATTTGTTAGAGTTGGAGGTATTCTTGTTTTTACTTTGTGACCATAGTTTATTTTGTACAGGCTACAGTATATTTGTTTCCCGAACATGTAAATTGAGATAGACTAACAAATCTCCTCAAGGGTTATTCTCACTATAAGTCTAAAGTGAGATGTATATTTTTGACCCCTTTAAGGTTTCCCTTGGGCCTAAAAATAAGTTTCATCTACACTTGAATACTGAGCACTTGAAATAAAAAAATAACATGTAAGAAGGGTCACATTGCATTTCTAATTCATGGCAAAAACACAATACACTTTTTCAGCATAATCGTGTACAACCTCGTTTACAAAAAGTGGTGTTCGAAGTGATGTATGTGTATGTGTGTGTGCGTGTGTGTGTGTGTGGGTGCGTGTGGATGTTTACAGAGCTAGAGACCACACCTGTGGTCCGATTTTGATGAAACTTTGTATGTAGTCAGTAGGCACTAATCCATGGCATAGCCAGGCATTTCGTTCAATGTTTTGAAATTTTGATTTTTAACCCATAAATAACGGAACAATCAGATTTTCTCAAAAATGGTTCACACGATTTTGATAAAAGTTTTGTATGTTATAGTCCTTTAAATTCTGAACAAATTTGTACAAATCCCCTTCCCGTACAAATTACGGTCCAAAAGATATTGTAACTTGTGTTATTTTCCCATAAAATAACATAATAAAGGTTGTTGATAAGGTAATGGGAGAAAGTATGTGTAAGATTGCTAATACCTTTTATTTACTGACCTAATCATGGGCGTTGTGATTTCCTTATGTAAACTTATTTTGTAGTGTTTTTGGTGGACACCGAAAATAAATTATGTATTTTGTTGTGTTTACTTCTCATAAATTCCTCCTCGCAATATAGCCACAATTGGTTATCTATTTTTAAGTATATAATGCTGAAGGTATAAATCCGATTACCCTTTTCTTTTGGTCAGTATACACATGAGTTACGTCAGTTTATATCCGTGCAAAACAGTACATGTGATATGGCAACATATAATGCCTACATTAGACACTTAAAATTGTATATGCAAATAATAGCAAAAATAGATTTTTACCAGTTTATATCAAGGGTATAGAGCTTATTTTTTAATTGGAAATTAGTTTTTGAAAGGTTAATCGTGTTTATTGCTGCTGATTCCGAAATCAACGTAACAAATATACATATTTTACTCATATAATACACAGAGTATGTGTCCGTTTGCAAGATAACTCCAGTAAAAACATCTACAGTACATGAATTGCTTTTCAACACAACGATGTATTTTAAAGCGGACGATTTTCTCTTTGGTTATACCATCAATAGGCTATACAGATTATCTTAAAGTTAGCAAAATTGCAAGAAATACTTGTATGCATCAAATATAGTAAAATAAAATAAAAACTTGTCAGTATTAACGCTTTAAAACGTAATCAACTCGAAGTACATCTAAAAAGCTCATAAATCACAATACAATATACATTCTACTTGTACATTTCAAAGTCAATTGGGGACATAACATTTAACAATTTAAAATTGTTTACCTTTAATTGCCTCATTTCGTGTTCTTACCATTATTTACAAATACAAATGATGATTAATATAGCAAGTACGAGAAATTAAATAAATCCATCAAAAGAAAAAAAATTCTGAGTTTAAACGTTGATGAAAATATTTAAAATTACACACACACACACACACACACTATTGATAGAATAATTTTGTAACGTCTTCGTTAGTATAGAATGCCGGTGGAGTTTCTTCAGAATTGTTATTGGCATACAGTAGAAGGTTTTATCCTTTTTAAGACTCAAATAACAGTAAGAATCACTTTATCAATCATTGTGCGTGTTAGACTCCCAGGGTTTTCGTATTACCAGTGAACAGCGCAATCATCGCGTTGTAGTAATGCTTTTTAGTTGTCTGGGTATTTCCAAACGCCACATCCAATGGATCTTCCAATGGATTTTTTTTTAAGCTCTCTTCGTCGTACTTATTTATGATATCCTTTAGATCAATTCCAAAGTGGCCTCTTATCAAATTGATGAATTTTACGTCGTCAACTTTTTTTTCTTTTAATAATGTACGTAGTTCTTCCGCAAAAAACTTCTGTTGTTTAACTGCTATGTCCAGGATAGTTGCATGCAATTCAGTGTCATACATGCTGTATATATTAAAGGTGCTCCTAATGTTATCAACTCCTAGTTTTTCAACAAGTATCTTTATTCCGGGAAGAGAAAGTTTAAAGAAAATCTCGTCTAACAGAAGGCGTGTTACTTTTTTTTTGACATACCCATCCACATATGACGTCCGTGTGACAAGCTTCTTAATGTAATCGATATAATCTCTGCCCATTGCTCTTTTTTCTTTAGTTTGATGTGTTGACAACGTTCTGTCTATGTGATCTTCAAGTTCTACGCGATACTTTTCCTTATAAAGATTTCTGACTTTTTGCATAAGACAAGGTGTAAGAGTTATGATTATTTGTATCAAATCTTTCCGCGCCGCCACCTTTTGTGGGAAAGTTTTTCCAAAGCTCAAATAGGGATGATTTGTCAACCTTGGTTCCAGCAATTTAGTCAGTATATAATGCAACTGATCAGCGTAAACCTCGTCTAAGGGTTTTGCCAGGTCCACCATAGTTTTCTTGAACCTTTCACCTGGCCCAACGAACATTTCTTCTACCTTCTCCCACAGTTTGATTTTCTCTTTATTTTCGTAGTCTTTAGTGAGTTTTTTTCTTTCGTTCTCCGTGTGAAAAGCCAGTATTGGGACAAGCTTCGTCCGTTCGCCCTTCAGTTCGGCAATTTTGGATGTCAGGGTGTCGAGGTCCTCTTCAATGCTGCGTTCACAACCACTAATCCAATCACCAAGATTGCATTCAGCCCACGGACAAATGATGCACTTGTCGTCGCCAAAAACAAATGCTGCAACATCACAATCGGCCATTAGAGGAAATGAATAGTGTTGTCTACAGTTTTCATACAAAGATGCATTGTAGAAAAGATTATCACTATGATTAGTTTATTTTAATATATTGATAATCAACAGGTCCCCCTGATTAAATCGATATTATTTGCATTTAAAATGTTGCACATAAATGTAAAAACAATATTATAGTTTGAACAAAAAGAAAATTATTTTTGAAGACGATTAAAAGAATGTGAAAGGCGAGAATTGTTCGTATTTTGAATTCTGAAGATTACAATTATGTCACTGCTTATTCCATAGTCTTAATAATGCAGTTCAGACATAATACATCTTAACATGTTGTAAGCACGTTTGTTGAACCTATAATAATTTTTAGTTGTCATATGCCGTACACAAAACTCTTGACGGAATATAATGTCCATTTTGTGATTAAATGATCAAGTTTAAAATGTACCCGGTAAACCTTGTGCGTCTATCGTTTATATAAATATATAAAATGAGACTTTGCTCACTAGTTGTACACATAAACACCTATTTCAAGATGTTTACAAATAAATATCATACAGCAATGAAAATATTGTTTTCAAAATAGTTGCAGAAATTAATGTGATTCTATTTTGTTTGTGCAAAAAATAAAGAATCAGCTGGAGCCGAGGAGCTGTAGTATATTTTATAACAAGAATGGAAAGAATTTACACGTTTGATAACATATGTTTGAAGTGCAAGCATTCAATTGGTAGAGAACGTCAAAACACTTTCACTGGACGACCTCTATTCAGTCTTAATTTGTACTTGAAATATTAGACCTAGTTTTTAAAAAGTTCTTAATTAAAGAGAAAAATAAATTTCCATATATTTTGATGAGTTTTGAACGATATTTTTCAATACACTACTGAATGAAAAATATTTGGAATATTAAGTTTTCCCTTTAATTAAGGACGTTTTTAAAACTAGGTCTAATAAAGTGCAAATTAAGACTAACTAGAGGTCGTTCAGTGGTCGAAAACTCGACCAAAAATATGTAGGTAAAGTAATGCCAATTAATATATTGATTAGTTGTACAGTTATGGTTATTGGATTTAAGATATTCCTTTATTATAATCGTGAATCACTTTCTCAGCTATTTGTTTCAACGACGAAGGTACAGGCACATCCACTTCAGTTGGTAAAACGACAACAAAAATGTTTTGAAAAGCTTCCCAAATATTGTTAAGTCGTGGTCGTAGGCTAGATAGTGGAAGATTTCTAACGTAAACATTGTTACTTTTTACTGTTAACTATAAACAGCTGTATAAAGTGTGATGTTTCGTTTAGTTGGTGATCCACAAATAAAAAAAAAAAAAAAAAAAAAAAAACAGCTGGACTCAGGGTTTGGGGTTTTTAAGGGAGAGGAGGGAAAATGCTTTCACGCATAAAACCCCCTACTATGTTAGACACAGATCTGTGATTGATTGTCACATTTCCTAAAGTCAAGCTAACATGTGACTTAAGCGCTAGGGCTCCAGCCGTTTCTGGTATTCACTTATTTTATATCCTAAACCGTATGTCGGCTAAGGTAAAGCTTCTTCGCACGGAGAATACCCTGGACGAAATCTGACACACGGGTACAATTTTCCTCACTCTGCACCATCATTGGCATGACCTTGCAGTCTTGTATTCTTTTGATCTTCAAGGCGGGGCCTTTCCCAACGCAGGCAGCGAAAAGTTCCGTGTCGTCGGGAGTCCCTGGGCAGTCGATGCAATCGGGTGACACAGCTTTGCACATTCTAAACAGGTACGACCGGAAACATCCGTGTCCTGTTAGGAATTGGGTGAGGAAATATTCCACCCAATTCCTTGGTGTTGTCGGTTGACCCACGGCTGGACTTGCTGAATCAGTCACCTGGTAAAGCGTCCCCGTGTCTCATGTTCCCAGCTCTCCTGCCAGAGGTGGTAGGTGACTGTGTTCTGCCCTGCACTTCCTTATCCGCTTGTGTTCCTCAAGGTAGTTGTTTAGGACCTGTGCTGTTCAATTTGACTTATCCAGAAGTGTAGAATATTGTACAGCACAATTGAATGCTGATGACTGCCAACTACACTTGTCATACAAGCCAGACAAGACATCAGAAGCAATCCGGCTCATCAATGCTGATTTTCACAGCATTTTTCCATGGTCTGTCATGAATGGCCTTGGATTGAATGTTGACAAGTGTGTAGTCATGCATACGGGACCAAACATTATGATGCAGGAATTGAGTAAATCTGCTATAGAAGTCACCCTTGATGGAATGAGATTGTCTGTTTGCGACACTGTCAACACGCTTGGTGTTTTACTTGACAAAGATCTCTCTTTTTCTGACCATGTCACATCTGCAGTTCAACGCGCAGTGGGTAGACTGAGGGCTGTTAGCAGATTTAAAACTCTACTGCCGGAATATGCCAAAATGCAACTCATGCGGTCCTTGGTCCTCCCAGCCTTTACATAACTTATTGCTTTCCTGCATATGGAAACAGCATCTCTGAGGAGGTAATGGCAAGAGTTCAAAGAATTAAAAATTCTGCTATAAGGTTCATTTTTGGCCTTAACCACTTTGACCACGTGTCCTCCTTCCTAGATGCTGCAAAGCTCAGCCCAATGGATGACATGTGCAGGAGGCTGACCTGCTGCCTGGTCCACACAGTTCTCACGCTGGGAGAGCCTCAGTGCCTCAGTGTGAGGCTTAAGTACAGGGGGGAAATCTGTCTGTGTGGTACTCGCTCCGACCGCAGGCTTCACATTCCTAAAGTGAGGCTTGAGGTTGGAAGAAAGTCATTTTCTTATTTTGGCCCGCAGTTGTATAATGGCCTCCCGCATGACATAAAGAGCTCCAAATCATATGGTTAATTCAGGGCCGCAATGCAGAAAACAAATGTAAATTGTAACTGTTTTTGTTTGTAGTTATTTTGTATATTATATTTCTGTATATATTAGGTTAGTTTGGTTTTAGTTTGACTTGAGTAAGTTTGAAAAACTTGTATATGAAACTAGCTTGCAAATACTGTAAAGGCCTTTTTATTTATTATTATTTATTTATGTGGCCTGCTCTCGAGTTGGAAAAACAAATAATCTATTTGTTTACACACTAAACGGCAAAGCAACAAACATTGTTTACAAAATAGCACTTGATTACATAATAAATAATACGTATTATTAAAAATAACAAATGGAGTGCTATAAATTTTTAAAATACCTCCCAGAGATTCAATATGGAATGGTTAACTTTCTTGAAATCGCAGCAACGCATGACGGGTAAGCCAGTTATAATATATTTCGTGATAGGTGGAACCACCATGGTCTATTGTCTGTGGTAATAACTAAATAGCAGGGGACCGAGCGTTTTCCTAGTGTTTAAGCTCTGGTTGACATCACAAGACTAAGTTTGACAATTAGATCTCAGACTGCAGACAATTGATGACTGTTGTGTAACATTTAAAATTGGACAAAATATACGTCGGGAAATGCCTTCCTGTTTCAAACTCCCACCTTTGTTCTCAGGTAGGAGATCTTCCAAAATAATCTACGTTATAAAGCCTAAAATTCATCCACGCTAATAGTATACGGGTAGCAAAATTGTTTGTGTTGGAATGAATTTCAAGGAAAGTGTTGAAGAAATACACAAGTTTCATTACCAGCGATTTTTTTCGTAGATGTAGTTCATGGCCTAACAACTTACCTTCACGAGTTTTTGCACTAGGAGTGTTTGCACTATTCTTGTCGACCTGCTTAGCTTTACTGGTTCCAGTATTTGTTGCCCCCGCAGCATTTCTTGCATTTGATGACTCGACTGTTTTGACACTAGGAGTGTTTGGACTATTCTTGCCAGCCTGATTAGCTTTACTGGTTCCAGCATTTGGTGACTCGTCTTGTTTGACCTTAGAAGTGTTTGGACTATTCTTGTCAGACTGATTAGCTTTACTAGTTCCAGTATTTCTTGCATTTGATGACTCGACTGTTTTGACACTAGGAGTGTTTGGACTATTCTTGTCAGCCTGATTAGCTTTACTGGTTCCAGCATTTGATAAGTCTTCTGGTTTGGCAACTTGTGGCTCTTTCGTCACTCCTCCTTTATTATTTCCGCCTTGAATGCCAACACTAGCTTGGACGTTGGTTGATCCTTTTCTAATATCTCCAAGGCGGTTTTCAACCTCTGCCCATCTGTCAAGGTTTCCTATTAATGAACAAATAATATTTCAAAATTCGAGCCAATCATAACTCATTTATGCAATGATTAGTTGGTACTGAATTATTTTTCACTATAAAATTGAATTTTGATAATACCACCTACTTCATTTATTACACCATACAGTGAAAAGGTTTTAATGGAGTAGTATTTCAAATGTTATCTCATTGTTGTTTGGTGTAGTTAAGTCAGGGTTGGGCAAATGTGTGGATACCCCTAGTTAACTTTTTAATGGGTGACACCAGGAAAACTAAACTCCACATACCTTCATAAAAAATAAAACTGCACTTTTTGGACGGTGTCCCAATTTTTCCCCGGACCCTAAAGTGGGGTATTTTGGGAGCAGCTCCAAAATTGTAAATGTAAAGCCCCATCGATTGACACCTCATTTTAAAGACGTTTATTAAAGAAGGGTATCAGCGAAAACTAGAGGTCTCTATCTCAACCCAGTACGACATGGCGGTCATTTTAAATTTTCATCAGCCTGAGAGAACCCACTTAAATGTAGGCATCAATATCCCATATTATTTTTTTAGCGGGTTATACCAGGAAAAGTAAACTCCGCATACCTTCAAAAGAAACAAAAATGCACTTTTTGGTTGGTATCACAATTTTGCCCGGGACCCCGAAATGGGGTGTTTTGGGGACAGCTCAACAATTTTAAATGTAAAGCCCCATCGAATGAAACCTCGTTTTTAAGGCCTTTATTAAAGAAGAATATCAGCGAAAACTAGAGGTCTCTATCTCAACCCAGTACGATATGGCGGTCATTTTAAATTTTCATCAGCCTGAGAAAAACCTTTAATGAGGTTAAATTGTACGATGAATTTTCAAATGACCGCCATGTCGCACTGGGTTGAGATAGAGACCTCTAGTTTTCGCTGATATTCTTCTTTAATAAAGGCTTGTAAAATGAAGTGTCACTCGATGGGGCTTTACATTTAAAATTGTTGAGCTGCCCCCAAAATACCCCATTTCGGGGTCCCGTATGCGGAGTATGCGGAGTATACTTTTCCTGGTATAACCCGCTAAAAATTAATATGGGATATTGATGCCTACATTTAAGTGGGTTCTCTCAGGCTGATGAATATTTAAAATGACCGCCATGTCGTACTGGGTTGAGATCGAGACCTCTAGTTTTCGCTGATATCCTTCTTTAATAAACGTCTTTAAAATGAGGTGTCAATCGATGGGCTTTACATTTACAATTTTGGAGCTGCTCCCAAAACACCCCACTTTGGGGTCCCGGGAAAAATTGGGACACCGTCCAAAAAGTGCAGTTTTATTTTTTATGAAGGTATGTAGAGTTCAGTTTTCCTGTTGTCACACATTAAAAAGTTAACTAGGGGTATCCTTGTGTGGATTGTACAAATACAAATTTGCAAAAGGTTTAACAATCTTTTATTTGAAGAATCCATAGTCTATTCCTAAGGCACACGTACCTGTTTTACCCCCTAGTGTACCTTGCAGTACCGGTATCCCAATCTCTGTACGTTCTCCGGTTCCAGTATGGTGTGGAATTTCACTATTTCCTCCATATGTTTGCCCTCTTGCATTAGTACTTGAGTCAACCGTTGGTACACTTTGTTTATTTACTTTGTAGTTACCAAAATAAAATAATTTCAACACATCTTCAAAATTAATATTGAGATAAATAAATTGCACAAAAAATTGAGATACATAAATTCCATATAGATTGAGATGACACTTAATTTTATCTTATACATAAGTGTATTCTTGTCTAGAAAACAGGATGATAATGATTGTTGTACCATTTTAGCCTTTAGTATGTTTTTTGGAAAATTTGGAAAAGTTATTATTTAAAATGTTAAAACACAGAAACATTAATAGGTTTCGAAATGTCAACAGTATTGCAGACTTTAGAGTGAAAATTGAATAGCTGATCGCCTTGTCAGTTCAACCGAATTTTCTGGAGGCTTAAATATCTGCACGATGTCACATCTCGTTTAGTCAAAGAATATATTTTCTAATACAAGGCAAACGTACCTGTTTTTTTTGCTTCTGTAATATCTCTAGCACTAAGCTTTTCGGTTTGACCATTTGTATTACTTTGGTCTGCTCCATTCTCATCGAGTAATTCTTGCCAACTTCTTTGGATTTCAGCCAAGAGTTCAGGATTTCTGTCTGTGAATAAACAAATTAACATCACAATAGACTCGGCCAACAAAAACAGAAAATTCCTTAGTGTAAAGCTGTGGAAATGTCAAACAAATATTTATGAATGTTGGCATTATTAACAATAATAGTAAGGGCAGCAGCAGTAGTAGTAGTAATTGTTTGTTGGCAAGTTCTTACTAATTTCCAAGGGGGTTTTATATTTATTATTTTCTCGACGGGATATGGATCAAAGAGTGTGACATTTAAAAAAAATATACAGAATATATAAAAAATACTAACATTTTTTGATCGGTGGTGATGGGAGACATGGGTTGTATATTTCGGGACACAATCCAAATCTTCAACTTTATTGTTGACGGATGTCTTTAGAATTCGACGCGTCCAATATTTCTTGAAGTTTCAACCACCAACCATCTGGTTTTTTCGTCAAACTACCTCTGGTTATTAAAGTGTCGAAAAAAATACACAAATAGTCTTCGCCTTCAAATTCATCCCATAGAAAAAGATAGCATCCAAAGCATCAAAGTTCTAAGAACAGGAAAACCCGTACATAAAGTATAATCGTTGGTAATCATTATCTACTAGTAGCGTAGGCAGCCAATGAGAAGTGATTTTACCAAATTCCCATGGGCCCCTCCCTACAGAAGGTCCAAGTTAGCATGGAGTTCGTATAGGAAGAATAATTTGTTTTTGGTTTTTGTTTACATTTGTCTGCAATTTATTTAATCATCAGCTGTTAGAATAAAAATAAGGTTTAATGGTTACAAGAGGTTCTACCCGTGAATTCACGGGTGTACAGAAGCCACCATTAAATTAATTTAATCAACTTTGACTATATATTTCATTTAAAGCGCCCAAGTTCGATAAATTGTCATCTGAAAGGATGGTAAAACCATAGGAGCCTTCAAACCTTACGTCCTAAGGTGGCCGAGGTGGGTACGGTTGTACCTGAACTCGCCGCTCTCTTTCACGTCTTTGATACTTTACTTAAACACTTTTCAATGAAATGGCGACCTGTTAAAGATCGGTGACAACCTCTTGGAACGAACATACATGGTTTGTTAATCTCATATTCATCGTGTTTCGAACACCTTTAATCACTCACTTGTATCAAACAGCTAGAAATAGCTTCAATGTCTATTCACCGCACCTCTTTTAAGAACATAAAAGTAAATAATAAAAAAAGTAAACAAAAATGTAAACAAACAAAGTATATTGTAAATTGCATGGCCAGCACTAAATTAATCGAATGACGTTAATTTCCAAAACATGCAAGGCGTAGCCCTTTGGGAATCAGCCTGTGGAGCAGAGCCCTTAGGGATTTCGTCCATATCAATACTTTTCGGCAAATCTACACACTCTAAGCTTAATTTTGATATGCCATATGCCTATATTTTTATTTGGTAAATGCCCTTAACCGTTTACATAAAATTTGATTGTATCACTTTAATAATATAATAGATTTCGGACCATATAAACATCATAGTTGTGTGTCAGTGAAATTAATTACCAGGGGGAAATTAATTTACTGTGCAATGTCTGGCATATGTTTATTAGCATTAATTTACTTCTGGGTTCCATTGTGGTGTTTTAACTTACCAAAAGCCGTCTGTGTTTGTACATATGTCGCCGGGTCTCCCGTCGAATCACATATGTTCGATGCGCTTTCTGGAATATACACACACATAACAAAATGAGTCAGAGCAAATTGAGGAATCCAATATCTTAGCAATCCGAAGTAGGACTCATTATTTGGCAGTTGTGCAGTTTTGCTTCTTGATGACACTTTTGAAACTCTATAAATGAAAAACTATAAAACTTATCGTCATGTGATGACAAGCAATTGAAAGAGGATATTCTAAAGTTTAGTGTGATAGGGAGTACTTTGGTAAACATTGTTGCAAAATCAGCCTCTTCAGACATTTTTAGATTTTAACTACGGTTTTAAAATAATTACACAATTCAAAGTCTAAGAAACTCTTGACATAAAAAGTATGTAGGATAGAAGGGGATTTAATAAAAACAATCGAACAAGATTGTGGCTAAAAACAAAAAAACTATAAATGCTCCTTGCGTCCCCTCTAGCTCCACAGCACCCATCCATTCGATGATTGAAGTCGTCACAAACTCTAAAATACAGAACACTTTTTACTTTTTGGTTCCTCGCTGCTTCAAATAATGGCGTACAACAATAACTGAGTGCTATTTTATAAAACTAATTAATTGACACCTAAAATTCAGAGAGTTGAAAGTGTGCAATTAGTTTAAAATCTTAGTTAAAATTTTAAAATGTCTGTAGAGGCTAATTTTGCAACTATGTTTACCAAAGTAGTGTCATACAAAACTTTAGAAGCTCATCTTTCAATTGATTCTCATTACGTGATAATATTATGTATAGTTTCTCTTTTATAGAGTTTAAAAAGTGTAAAAATAATTTAGAATCTATATATTAATTTGAAACTGTTTTTCTTTGTGACAGCTAATTTGAGAGAACGGCTGGGTGTAGAAACTCGGTAGGGGTCTCTAAAGAAAGGTCTTAGTCTGTAGATGAGCCATCAAAAGAGAAACAATGTAAATTTCCTTGGGGCTCTGCCCCAGAGGCCTTTTAAGTTCCCTCTTCAGATTTGTTTACATTACGACCATATGCATACATTGAAACAGCTGTTAATATTTAAATTGTGATTTACTAAATTTGTCAATATGAATGATTTGCAATGGGTTTTTTCTGATTTTAAAATCGATTTTCTTCTGAATCGTGCCATGTTTTGCAATATAATTTTCTATTGCCAAATCAGTGGAAAATCCTAATATCACAGTAACTCATAAAATTATTTCTTATGGAGTTAACTTATATCTATTTGGTTGGTTTCTGCCTTTTTTACCACTTCTTGGAGATTGCACGTAGACGATATTCTTTGGCGTATTGCATCTGTAGTAGACGATACTTGGTTGGTGTAATTTTTTAAATTACAATGGAAAAAAGTGAGAAATACTGGACAATTTGATATACTAAAAATAAAACTGAATTAACACTGTGCTACATTTCTTGAGCAATAATTGAAAGAGCCGATTTGCAAACAATGGAAACAGGAAAGTCATAGAACTCAACCAAGTACAGTAGAAGAAATATAAATAATGTTTTTTTTTATTTATAATCGTTATTATAGACAACCTAATGCGGCTATGGTTATGGTGTAGGTCATAAAGTATCTAAATGCCAAAAACGGTGAGAGCCCCGAGGGCTTACGTCACATGTTGGCCTGACTTGAAGTAATGTGACAAACAATTCCAGGTCTGTGTCCAACAGAGTAGAGGGGGTTTTTTAGTGAGTAGTCTGTGATAAACTCAGGAATCTCACACTACAGGCTGGCTACCTGTGTGCGTAAAAGCATTTTCCCTCCTCTCCCTTAAAAAAAAATTCGGCTATGAGTGGGGAAAATTTAACACTAAAAAACAAGGTCAGCTTTTGAAAAAAGATAAGATATTTACAAAAAATTTTGATTATATCTACCTGCTGTGTACATCTTGAGTATTTCCATAATCTTTGAGTCGACTCTTATAGTCATCGGAAATTATGACTGTTATTCGTTTTAAAATAACGCCTGTAATGCTTCGCAATTGCTCGAATTTGAGCAACAGGTACACTAGTTACATTAAATAGCTAAATAAATTATAGTAGACGGGCAAAGTGACGATCAATTAAATTACCGTACAATATAAACAAACTATTTGTAAATGCTGTTTGTGGACAAGTTATATACTCGTATATTCCAAATCTTCGTTTTAATTAATCAGTAAGCTATCTCCATTTGTTAATGAATTCCTGTTGTTTGTAATATTATAATGAATTCACGACTAATAGTACTCATCTGCTATATACAGAGTGTTCTTTTTTAAACGCTCCCCAAATTACAAGTACAGGGTCACTCTTTTCGGACAAAACAAAGCCATACGTTGGCAGCCTGCTTCCTCTAGTTAATTGCCGATCAATTATATGCATTTTAAAATTGTGTTCTATTCGGTTTCATATTAAGAGCTTACTGTGAATAAGATTCAACATGTTTATATGGACAGCCCATGTTTAAGATTTATAATGCACATAAATAAAAAACAATTATTATTGGACAACAGTTTATATCAACCTGGAGTTGATCTGTTAGATACATGCATTGACTATTGGATACTGAAATAAACCCATCAATATCGACTAGTTATCGCCAATTAAAAAAAGAGATGTGTGAGCCAGTCACAGAATACGCTAGTGTCTAAAATTCTACCTTATTTTTTGTTGCTGACCAGTTTCATGGGTCAAAACAGTTGCTATAGCTCGGAATAAGTCATTCCATTACTTTAACTTGGTAAAAGGTACGTACATTCGATAGAAATAAGTTATTTCAGATCTGCACAATCTGTGGCTCACATCAACTATAAATAACTCAACCACAGTGCAACCAGTAGAAGAGCGTAGAATAGACGTGCTTACCTTTATTCACATCGGAAATGTGTCCGGCTATTTCACTCGTGGTAGGATGCTCATCGTCTGACATCAAATAGTCATAGGCTCTGTTCCACATAATCTTAGTTATGCCTGCGAAAACATAAATGCATTCTTACAACTTTCCAAAAAAACGGGATCAGAAAACTGGCAAATACTTTCTCATTGTCAATTGTATCACGGGTGGTGGGAGTGACTTTGATATTTTATAAATAACATGTTACAATCACTTTTGAACTGAAATTTTACAGCAATTCTTGTACCATTTTGTTTGAAGTTAAAAGGACTATAACATACTAAATTTTAATCAAAATCACTCAAGCCGTTTTTGCATTTTCTGTGTTAAGGGGTTTTATAGAAAAATCACGATTTAAAACCCAAAATTCAAAATTTCTAAAATTGAAAGATACTATGGATGGACCCACATCCCAAATTTAATCAAAATCGCACCACAGGCGTGGTCTGTAGCTCTGTAGGCTACACATGCACACACACAGGAACACCGACATCACTTCAAAAACTGGCTTAGGGGGACCCATAACGGATGTATTCTACCCGAAACTCAGACTGTAAGATTTTGACGGACATACTACTTTCCCCATATAAGGGGAGAAAGTTACAGTAAAATTAGTAAATCACACTTTAAATACAAGGTGTTTATAAAAGAATGCCGGGATTTTAAATAGTAATTGCTTGGGTACTATTGAAGGTAACTAAACGTTTTACACGTCACATTGAAGCTAAAACTACCAAGTTTTGAGGAGGTTGTGTCCTGATTGCGAACAGTCCAGATTGCGAACAAGGGTAAAATCGTCCAGACTGCGAACACCTCAAAAATGCTGTGGACTACCTGAACATGAGTCGTCCAGACTGCGAACAAATATTTTTGAATCTGTAAAGATGGTTTAGTAGCTGTTGTTGAACGTGAGATTTAATTGCTTGTTGAGTTGGGAATGTGATTGAATGATTTATGTTGTAATGTGTAATGCATATACATGTTATTTCGGATGTAAGATGTATGTAAGTATGGTATTTATTTTAGTTGCTATTTAAATTGCTCGTTGACGATGTTTTTTTAGGTAATGATTGAGTTTGGAATGTGATATTGGCAAATGCATGATATTTCGGCTAATTATAGTCAGTTTCTCTTATATTAATATGTGAGGCTATTTTTGTGAACAAAACTCCTCCGTTATTTCTGGACCGATTTTAACGTTTGAGGTGTCAAATAATTCGTCTCAATTTGTAGTATTGCATAAACGTTTTAGAACTTAAAAAACTCTTACCCTTAAGGGCACGAGACGCTATCAAAGGTCGCATCTTCCCCATAAGAATTACATTGAAAGCAAATTTAAAAACAAAAACAACTGTATATAAAAAGAAACTCACCAGCTTTTTGGGAGTAAATATCGATGTTTGTAATATTTATGAGGTAATAGACAAATCTAAACAGTCAATCAGTTTTGTTGGAAGAACAGACAATTTCTTGAGTTTAAAGGAGAAATGTTGAAAACAGGAGGAGGAGACAATTAATAGGAAATCTTATACGAATAAGAAGAGTAGAGGAGAGGCCTGGTCTCACAGTAAGGAATCCAGGTACACACTCACTTGGGGAGATGAATCATTTTTGTCAGTTATGCTAAGCAACTTAAAAACATGAAGAATATACAACAGATGTTGTCACAGTGATAAAGTAAACCTACCTAAAGTCCGAACAAATAAATACATGCAAGAAATGTTTACTGGTTAAAAGCTTTAAGTCGGGAAACATTTGTAGAAAACACTAAAAAATAAGGCCGGGTCCAAAAAATTCTAAAATACAAGAAGCCTTTATTATATCAAAGAGCTATTTAATAGCGTGGGTATTACAATTAGTCACATAAGCATTTAGTCGGGTCTTTTAAACTCATCGAAAATTATTACTGTTATTACTGTAGTTTTAAAATAACTTCTGTACCTATAATACCTGCACTTGACAGTTGCTCGATTTCGAGCAACAGGTACCCTAGTTCATATGAAATGATTGTTTTATTTCCTTTACTCTGAGATTGTTTAGTAGTTGCTTGTTCAAGTCAAACATATTATAATTAATTTTAAATAAACAGCCAATTTAAATACCTATTATCAGAACGAATTTGTGAGTCTGGAAGAATCTGTCTGTTAATAAGGGGCTTTACCACCTAATTATACTACATCTCATAAAGATATGTGTCTTCAAGAACATTCATCCTTTCCATTATGTATATTACCAGTCTTAAGTTGTGATTTAGGCTAAATCATTCTGTTAAGGGTTTATGAAAGGGTTATATGAAAGGGTTGAAAACCCCAACCACTCAAAATGTGTTCGCAATCAGGAATCCTCCCCACCCCACGGACGACCCCCTCCACCTCGTAGACCCAAACATGTTCGCAGTCTGGACTGTTCGCAATCAGGACTGTTCGCAATCAGGAGGACACCTTTGAGGAAACTTTGACCTTGGAATGCGCAAAACAAGTGCAGGGTGATAGGCCGCTATTGTGACTCAGAGGCCTGACGCCACTACGCCAGTGCAATTTTTACGGCACAACAGAAGGCACAGAGTGTTATCTGTGGTTCACAGAGTTTATATCGATTGCTAGATTAAACTAAATTCAAATCTCTAGATGATAAATAAATTTAACACTGGTTTAATGAGTTTCGTGGCACCGTAGTGTTTTGAAATGACATTCACCTGGCCGGCTAAAAACAAGCGATAACACAGTCGAAGAAATTTGACAATTCTGCATCAGAAGCCCCAAAAATCGATTGCCCAACGAAGTCTTCAGTTGAACATACCTAAATCAACACTTCATGATGTTATCTGTAAAAGTCTTTGTGCATAAGAGTCTTTGTGCCTAAGAAGATTCAGTTGCATCAGATAAATCTTGTGCCGATCGCCCTAAGCGTAGAGACTTAGCCAGTTTTACGCTCATATAAGATTGATGAAAATTGATGAAAATGAATTTTCTTAAATTATTCCGAATAGTATCAAAGTATGAAGAAAAACTTTGTTCTTTTCCCTTCAATTTGACGTTTAAATCATTTAATTATCTTGAATAGTCCCTGAGCAACGACCGTTTAAAATCCCGGCATTCTTTTATAAACACCACTACATACTAGTATATCCCACTAAAAGGCCGGAAAACGAGTGTTTACGGCACAAGCACGGTAGTTTCCAAACGCGCTGGATTTTACCATTAATTGCATCCTGGCTGAGATGTACCGAAATTGCATCTGTAAGATCTAGTGCGAATTGCCTGAGTGAACATTTTACTCATTTCAAATTAAAGGAAACAGTTACTTAAAGATTCTGTACCTACTTGATCAGTAATAGTTTCAAAATGCCCTGGAACTCTCTGTTTAATCTTTGATCAATGATTTTCACCAGAGTTGGCTTCCTTTTGTACTGTATTAAGATCGTTTGTTTGTTTGCTTATAAACATATGCTATGATTGTTTACATCAACGTTGTTATTCGTAATCGCCACACATAACCCTTATGTTAAAATTTGAAAACAATTATGTCAGTATTAAATTGTGTAGGTTTTATAAGATTGAAAATTGTTGGTTGAATATCTTTCCCACTCTTTATTGAATAAACCCTTGGTAAGTTTTGTTTAAATGTGTTCAGCCATCATTGCATGATTCAATTACACAGTTTGCATAAGGCTCGATCTTATTAGCTCCGCTCAGTTACTAATCATTTTAACATAAGTGTATTGCAAAAAGTGATCTTATAACAGTCAATACAAGAGCAAATTTACGGTTAGGCTATCGAAGACAAATTTAGAGGAATCAGTAAAAATAATAAATAGTTGCTAAGCTGTGGTGACAATAAAATAAGAGCAATGTATTTTTCGCACTACGATGTTTTTAGCCGCTTTACAAACGTTTATTGGTGGCCAAAAATTATTGCTGGCTATCGTTACTTGGGGACCGAGCGGATTTTTACATCCCTAGGGCTGAAAATCAGCTTCGCTTACTTACTTAAAACAATAATGCATATTGAATACACAATCAGTATCCAAATGATCCAAAACATTTCAATTAATAGACTTCACTGACTAGCAACTATTTATTATTATTTTTGCTGATTCCTCAAATTTTTCCTTCACATAACCTTGAAGGTGTAGTTGTGTTGACTGTTGGTGTGCATTATTGTTGTGGTAAATAGTGGTAATATGGATACAGCTTGTGCATTAAATACATTAATGTTATAAGTAAATAAGCTAACAGCTGATTTTCGATCCTAGGGCCGCAAACACCTGCTCGGTTCCCAAATGACGACGAAAGCTGACATGGACAGCAATACGTAGCTTTCAGCCTCCAAACGTTTGTAAAACGGCTAAAAACATCGTAGTGTGGTGAAAAAATAATTCATCAAATCGCACTTAAAATCAGCTGTTCCTTTTCCTGTGTAGTTCCAAAATAATTACTAAAGTAATCCAACATCACTAAGTACGAGTAGATCATTATTGCTCGACAGTACGCACAAGAATTTAAAAACAAATTGATGAAGTTCGTAAGACAATTTACCTTGATCATGCAAGACGTAAAATGTGGCCATCAGTGCCAACCAGGTAGATGTGTCCATTTTGTGTTCATACGTTCATCTCCTAACGCACAGGAACACACACTTTATGAAAATGGCGGCTACACTGGAATTGACGAGTGCGACAGTTGGTGAAAACAAGTGCAACTTGGTAAACAGTAATTGGATCAATTATGGTACATCAGCGAATCATTTCTAGTTATTGACGCAAATATTTTTCAAGATCATATTTATTTGTAAAGGTTAACAAGTATGAGTTAGAGCGTAAGCCAAGTATTGATACTATTTAATAATATGTAAAATAGAATTATAATATTTTATATTTTATGAGACAGTTAAGAAATATTGAACTGAATATTACTTGTATTTTTTTGTTTTTACACTCAGCAACGGTCTTCTACTTTTGTAAAATTCTTGATTAGCCTGGAGATACCATGGATAAGTACCCTACCCACATAACAAATTCTGTAAAAAGCCCACCGTAGGTGTGATTTAGGGAATTTCCCATATAAGGAGTAAGCTATTACCATAGTATTACTATTATTGTAGTACTCGTGGTAAGACCTGGACCCGGGACCGATATTCTTTTTGTTTTGAGGTGCCTAGAGGCAAAAAGCCGTAAACATTCATAAATTTATCAAGCGAAGCTCTTAAACTAGTACTAGTACTAGTTTAGTACGTCGACTCTTATGCATTTCGTAATACGCAAACTCCTCCTAGACGGCTGAAGCAATCGTTTTCAAATTTTGCATGGTGATAAAGACCATATCGGTGAGTGCCAACATCTATATGGCGTTAAAAAATCTCAACATTAGACACTCATTAGAGTCGGCATCTAGCTCTGATCATGTCAACCGGTAACGTGTGTGCGACAGGCCTGTTAGTTTTATTTTTGTATATTTGTATTCGTAAAATGTGTTCGTGTTCGTGTTATATGTTTCTACTGTTACGACGCTGCTTCAGCCGAAGACGTCTGATGATGGCATGTTCATGACGAAACGGCCGTAACGGACGTTACAACTCATTGAGCTGTAGACAAAAGGTAAATACAATTTTTTAGTTGTAAATTGAATTATAACAAAACACAAATAAAAGTGTAAACATTGAGTAAGTTACATTTTTTAAACTGTACCAGTACATATATCTCTTAGTTTTTAAAACCCATTAAAATCCTGATCCAACATTTATTTATCCGTTCAAATTTGTAAACAAAAAGCTACAATATCAAAAGTATTCCAAACATTTATAAATTGTAATGATTCCGTGAAAGTAAGTATATTTTCATAAATATTTTAATCAAACTATTCTCATAATCATAAAGCTTTAGAATCTTGGGAGTAGAACCTGTACCTCTTAACATCCTGCTGTTTGAACTGTCAAATTATAGTATTTACAGCTTATTTCAATTTATATTTTTGACTATTTACATTCTTCCAAAATGTTGATACTTTGAAGCCCATGGGGCGTAGCTCAAGGGAAATATTATAACAGGAATATGCCTATATGTTAACCAGGTATGCAGGGTGGTAATTAAAACTGAAGACAGTTAAATATTTAAAAAAAAAATACTGTAGATAGAGCTACAATACTTTGTACAAAGTTACAAGGCATAACACTCTATTTTAACACATATTCAGTGATCCAATAACTCTTCAGGGGGACGGCCCACAAGGAGTTGGAAGACAATCTTAAATGGAAGCATAGGTCAATATGCACATCAAATGAAAGGTCGTTTTTAGTAGAATACAATGCCGCAAACCGCACTTCAAAAGATCCTGCGCAAAATGGCAGATGTTCAAAGATTTTCAATATTAGCCATTTAAAAAAAATTAAAACACTATTTTAAATCTTTATACAATTATATTATCATACAATTAAATAAACATCTAAATTTAATGAGTGGAGCTCCTTCCACCACTATGGAGTCTGGAGTTGAGTGATGATGGGAGGTGAGAGGCTGAACACCTTCCGTTGGACACTGACCGGAATTATATAAATATAGGCTAGTTTCAATGTAGCACGTCTCGATAATAGCCTATTCGATATTCCCGCGAGTGACGGTGGACAACTCGATGGTGGAGTTGTAGAAAATCACGACTATACACATTAGTCGCCCATCTGCCTCATCCCGTGGTTGGTTGAATAAACTCAATAACCAGTTTTGCATAACAAGACAGTTATCCCCCCTGAAACCTTCAATATTGATTTAAAAAATCTTCAATCTAGACAGTTTTTACTCTTTGTCTTCTTCCTCTTCTGGGGTAGTACAAGTATTTCTTGTCTTCTCTGCGAAAGTCTTTTCCTTCTTATCCCACTACCTTTACCATATCTTATAGACTGGTTGATCTTTTGCACTGTCTTCTGAGCAGTCTGAAAAGGTCTTCCATTTCTTCAGCCTTCTCTTCATATTGTTACAAGTCAGGAGCCCCGCGTAACAATAGCCAGGCGCCGTCTCAAAAGGGTTGTTTGTTTACACGGGTTTCTCCGTACGTGCCAGTGAAAGACAATAGACCCATGTCAACGGACTACGTCAATAGGGTCTTTGACATCCACCAGAAGCTTCTACGGTGATCCGTAAACAGCTTTGTTTGGGCTACTAGGTGCCTCCAGAATGTTCCACGGTAAACTTATATAAGGGACCGTCTTCCGGCACACGGCAGTTGAGTTGAGTTGAGCCTTCCGAGAATCGTCGCAGCAAGCGCGTGTCGGTGTTAGTGACCAGTGCTAGTGCTAGTGGCAGTGACAGTGTAGTGACGGTGTAGAGACAGTGTAGTGACAGTATAGTGACAGTGTTGTGACAGAAGTAGTGATAAATCCTGTAAAGGTTAGCTGTAAGTAGAATCATTGTAAATTAGAATAGGCTTTAGCTAGGTTAGATAGGGTTAGTTAGGTGTTAGGTAATTGTAATATCTGTAAATATAGAACAATTAGTGTAAATAAATAGTTATTATAAAATCGCCAAGTTTTATATTGTAAAGAACCCGTTAAGTCCGCAACAATATCTTACCTTTTGTCGTTTGTGGTCAGGAATCATCTTGCCCCAGTGCCTGATCTCCTCCTGTTCGAACTCTCTCCAGTTTCGTCTTTGAGCGTGCGCGTTGTTGCAACATAATAGGAGAACACATAGAAAACGGAAAATGTCCGTTTTGAGGTAACAATCTTTTGGGATACCTCAGAATGTGGTCATGACGTCATAGAATAGTGCTACTATCGACCAATAAGAACCGGATTGGCGATCGTAGTCGTAAGTTGTTTTGACAAACGATTGAAAGTAGTTGTTCGCCCGTTGGTTGCTTGCTTGATGTTGCTGTAGATTGGATTGTAACAACGAACAACTAAACCTAATAGCTACAGCACGGCATTCTCGTGCAAGAATAAATCTCAAGATTCTTCATCTCCTTAGAAATAACATACAGTAATTTATTACTTGTAAATGGTAAACGTCACTTTATATAATGGTGTTTTGGACGAACTAAACATCTTCCAGTAAGTAGGGGAAAGCCTATATTTGACTTAAATAAATCCAAATCACGCCATGTAAAGAAAACAAATCAGAAAGGACACAGTAGCCCTTTTTAGTGATCAATTGACATCAACAAATTATAACCTATACTATTAAATAATGGCAAGTCTCAAGTGTTAATAATTAATTCTTCATTCGGTTTCGGTTGGGATAGTTCACTCAATAGTCACCAGAGTTTTACAATCGGTAGTCCTGTAGTTATTCACTAGTTAAGAGTCTTCATCAGTGGTAGCCATATTGGATTTTAGTCCCATAAGAGCAATGTTAACTTTGAATTTCTAAAAAATTGTGATAAAAATGATTGAGATGTTAAAATAAGGTTTAGTCCTCCTCTAGGGAGTGAAGATTTTAGTTTTGCCATTTTCCCTCTACTTTATAAGTTAATGATAACCTAATAATAAATTGTCAAAACTATAGGTATCTTTATAAGTAACACCGGACGAACCGGCATGCTGCCTCAAATGATGGTATTTTTAGCCTTTAAAACAATTTAATCATAAGTTATCCACCACGTCACTTAACTAAAACGTCCATTTTGAATTTAATATTGATTATTTATTTAATTATTATTCCGATCATTAATCATTTGTTTATTTCGGTATGATAAATATTTTTGGGCATCACTCGCCTTATTGAAATCAGGAGAACATAGTTCTTGTCATATCACATATCACAGTTCATTGCACATACACAATGATAAAAAATACAAAAATAAAAATAAAATCACAGACTATAGTTCTCAGCTCCGACGTTTATGTTCAATTATTATTTATTTATTGATTCGTGTACTTCATTACTTAATTATACATCAACCCATTACAGGCTACAGTAAATTTATTTCCTATTATTTATTTGTCATTTTCTATTATTTATTTATTTGTCATGATGAGTCATGACAAAACGTTTGCCCGTGCCGCGTCGTGTGTGGAACTAGTTCCCGAATTTATGTTAATCGTCTTCGTCTGTCAATGTCTCATGTTTATTTATTTCAATGTTAGTGTTTTTGTGTGTTTGTAGAACTCGACGATCTCGCAAGAGTGACAACAAGAGCCTGAAGATGAGGTTATAACCTTGAAACCGGTTGCTCTATACAACAAATATAGTATCACAGACGGAAACAGGTAATTTTATACCATTTTAATATTCAAGAAGTGATCCTGGACCAAATAACCAAATAACCAAATAATCAATATGAAATTTATTTCCCCAACAAGTAAATTAAGATTGACTAATAAATCTCCTTAAGTGGGGTTTTAAAAGTAAAAAGTATATTGTTGACCTCTTTGAGTTTTCTCTTGGGCCTCAAAATAAGTTTACACTTGAATACTGTACACTCGCAATAAGAAATGGAAATCTAAGAAGGGTCACATTACATTTACAATTAACATGGTTAAAATATATAAATTTTCAGCTTTCGTGTACGACCTCATTTTATCTTCTCGTGAATTCCCCACGCAACATATTATATGTCCAATTCGTTATTCATTATTGACATAGAGTACACAACAATTATGTTAAATCTTTTACCTACGACCATTTTTTAAAGTAGCCGTTTCAGTTCAGTTCTTAGAATTGAAAAGTTTCTCATAACAGCATTGTTTACTTCCATAACAGCATAGTTTTACCATAGACTAACCAACACAAGTATACTTCTCATCCCATTGTAAATTTTGAAGCACGTTTTTCGTGTCTAGTTCATGTACGTGACACAAAGGCGTTAGTGTCGACGAAACTTTGTTTCTATTATTTTAGTGTTAATTTCTTGATTTGTGCTTTACTGTTTGGTTATATAACTAGGGGGCAAGTTATTGTTTATGATTAGATCGTATTATTTGGTTATACGAGGTTTTAAATGGCTGTAATAAAGGGAAACAAATTGTAAACAAAACACAACCTCTACATAAACCGCACAGAACTAACAATAAAATTGACTTCAGCTGTTCCATAAGGATGAGAAATCTACTAAGGGAGTATGTTTTATCTATGGTTTTACTCATAACAACACGGGTAACGGACCAATGACGTTCAAGGATTGAGAGCGAAGAAGTAAAATTGTAATGTTTCGAACTTCAACTAATCAGCTGTTCACGCCAATTTAATTGTTGAGTGGTGCAATTAGTGTTTGGTTCAACGTTTCGTTGCATCACTGTCATTGGCAATGAGAGGTTATGAAAGAAAACATAACCTCTCTTATGGGTAACGACACTCATAGAAGTTTTTAAGGCACTCGCCAAGGCTCGTACCTTAAATTTTCTACTCGTGTCGTTAACACTAACTTTACGCAATCGTTGCGTAAACTACTATTGACAGTTCAGTAAGATTATTTAAATGTCCAGAGATATGGTAGAAACCCGTAAAAATACATCATAACTGGAGACACTATATTGCAAGACCACATAATTTAATTAGTTTTTTATTGACCTATTGATAATGGGCGTTGTAATTTCCGTATGTAAACTTATTTTGTAGTGTTTTTGTTGGACACTGAAAAAAAATTATGTATTTTTTCGTGTTTACTTCTTATAAATCCCACCTCGCAACATAGACCTGGTTATTTTTCTTTTAGTAAACTATGCTGAATGGTATTAATCCGATTGTTCTTTTCTTTTGATCTGTATGAACATGAGCTACGTGTGTTTATGTTCTTGCAAAACAGTACATGGTGGCATGGCAACCCATAAGGCCTACATTAAACTGTTGAAAGTTCATATGCAAGTTATAGTGAAAATAGATTTTTACAGGCTGGATTTATTTCCACGGGTTTAGAACTTCTATTTGATGCAGAAATTAGTTATACTGTGAGGCTAATGGTGTTAATTGAAGCTGATTCCAAAATTGACGTAACAAATATACTTGTTACTCATATGTGTCCGTTAGCATGGTAACTCTATCAACAGGAATTGCTTTTAAAAACATGAAATATTTTAAAGTGTATTTACAATATACTCTTAAGTTATAACACAAACAATTTACACATAGATAGTTTTAGAGTAAGCGAAATCAGAAGGAATAAATATTAAAAATAAAATCGTAAAATAAAGGCTACCCTATAATTAAAGAAAATCCTTGTCAAAATTAACAGTCCGTCATCAACATGAAGTACAACTAAAAACCTCTATATATCACGATAAGATTTAAAGTCTAACACTATTCGAAGTAAATGGGAGACATAACATTTTACAAAATTTTCAAATTTACCTTTAATTGTCACATGTTATGTTTTTATGATTAGTTACAAACACAAATAATGATCAATATAGCAAATACGAGAAGTTACTTAAATTCATCGAAAGAAAACCATTCTGATTTTTAAAAGTTGATGGAAATATCCGAAATTTCACACACACTATTGAAGAAATAAAATGATTTGGTAACATCCTCTTTAGTATAGAATGACGCAGGAGTTTCTTTAAAATTGTTATTTGCACTGCAGAACTTTATATTGTTTGATCCATTTTGAAGACTTAAATAACGGTAAGAAACACGATATTACTATAATAATGGTTATAATGGTGTGTTTTACATTAAAAGTTTGCCGGTGAGAAGAGCGTAAATAGCATTGTAGTAATGCTTTTTAGTCGTATCCGTATGTTCAAACGCTTCAAACAATTTCTCCTCTCTTTTTCTTTCACTCTCTTCGTTGTATTCCTTTTGGATATCTCCTAGGTCAGTTCCAAAGTGGCCTCTCATAAAATTTATAAATTTTACGTCGTCAAATGGTTTTTCTAAAAACATTTTACGTAGTTCATCAGCAAAAAACTTCTGTTGATTCAACGCTATGTCCAGTATGGTTGTATGCAATTCTTCGTCAAACATATCGCTTTCTTTGAGGTGTGCCTTTATGGTATCAACTCCCTTTTCTTCGACAAATTTCTTCATTTCGGGAAGAGAAAGTTGAAGGAATTGCGCGTTTGACAGAAGGTGTTGATCATCTTGGTTTGGTTCGGAATCCAGTGTGTTCTCCCGCACGATATATGACTCACGTTTGATAAGGTCCGTGATGAATTTGATGTACTTTTCATCCATTCCATTTTTTTCAGGGGTCTGATGCGTTGACAAAATTGCATTTATATCGTTTTCTAGTGAATCTCCATACTGTACCTTATAAAACTCTCTGACTTTTTGCATAAGACAAGGTGTAAGAGTTACGATTATCTGTATCAAAATTTTCCGCGCTGCCACCTTTTGTGGGAAAGTTTTTCCAATGCTGAAACTAGGATGATTTGTCAACCTGGGTTCGAGAAATGTAAACAGTATATAGTTCAACTGATCGGCGTAAAACTCGTCCAAGGGTGTTGCCAGGTCCTCCATGGTTTTCTGGAACCTATTCCCTATCGTGATTCTATCGTGCACTGTCTTTCTCAGTTTGACCTTCTCGATTACTCTGTATTTCTCAGCGAGTGTTTTTCTTTCGTTCTCCGTGCGGAAAGCGAGTATGGGGATAAGCTTCATCTTGTCCAAGTCGTCAGACATAATTGTCCTTATGTCGTCCTCCATGTTAACGGTTGTCCAATGGCTCGTCCCCCCGGGTGTGCACCTAGTCCATGGACAAATCTCGCATTTGTCGTCTCCATAAACAGTCGCTGCAACATCACAATCGGTCATTAGAGGAAATGAATGGTGATGGACAAAACATAATTTTCCTACAGTTTTCCTACACAGATGCATTTCGGTCATTAGAATTAGTTTATTCACAATCAACAGGTGAATGCCCATGCGTAGAATAAATCGATAATCACATTTTAAATGTTATACATAACTGAATTTTTTTATCCCGATACAATCTAAACGACCGGCAACCTTGTGCGCCTCTCGTTAAAAAAATACCACTATGCTCACTAGCTGTACAAATAACTGTATTTTATGATGTGCACAAATAAATATCATACAGCAACGAAAATGTTGTTTTCAATACAATGTTGCAGCAATAACTTTTTTTTTATTAATGCAAAAAAGAATCACCTGGAGTTGAGGACATCAGCTGTAGTAAATTTTATAACAAGAATGGAGAGTACGATTTTGCACTTTCGAGACCATGTTATGTTTACTATTATGTTTGAAGTGCAAGCACTCCATTGGTCGAGACCGTGCAAAACACTTTTGCTTGAGGTTTGAACTATGTTTTTCACCACACTACTGAATAAAAAATCATTGGAATATTAAGTTTCACTGTGGAACAATTTTAAAACTAAGTCTAATATTTACAGTTCAAACTTAGGGTTACTGTGCAGTTCTGGTTATTGGATATAGATATCCCTTTATTAGAATAGTGAATTACTTCCTACGCTCTTTTCTAAACGACAATGTTACATACACATCCATTTCGGGTGGTTAAACGACAGTTTTGAAAACGGGTCCCGTTTTTTCGTATGTCTACGTTGCCACTAAGCACTACACTGTGAACGTTTTGGTAGAAGTCTAAAAAATGAGTTTACTCAGTATCGAATAGAGTATTATTTGATAAGTGGCGTGAGTTTAGAGAGCTAATCCAAGTAAATTCCGGTTAGCAAACTCGTTTTTGATACACCATAGCCAAGAACCAAGGCCAATGACATTGTTAAGACAGTATATGAGCGACAGTGAAAAAATAATACACTTTAATGATAATGATAGTTGTATAAACATCAAGAATATATCGTCTATTTCTAAGGCGCGTGTACATGTTTTTACAATACTGTACCTGGAAGTACCGGTTTCTCAATCCATCCGGTTCCGGTATTCTGTGAAATTTCACTATTTCCTTTATTCCCATTAGATCCTTGACTTTCTCCATTGCTAAGAGAGTTGTCTACCATTTTATTTTGATCATCCGGTTCATGGAGGGCTACGAATAAACAGTGAATCTCTTAGATTTTAAATCGGAAAGTAACTAAAATAAAATTATTTTAAACTAACATAACTTTATTGTTGAGATTGAGTTGCAGGTTTCTGCTTGGTACAAATCAGCCGTTGTAAAAAAATTTAACAATTAATAGTGCTGCACCTTGTTGGTAAACCTGTTAACTTTTTAATGCTATTGAACATCACAGAATCAAATTGTTTAGTTGAAATAGCTGTTAAGATTCACTTCAGAGCCACTGGGGCGGAGCCATTTGGATTGATCACGAAATTGATGGTGCGAAAAACGTGTAAACTTATTCCATGAAATTCTACACGTATGTACCAAGTTTTGAAGCCATCGGTCCAGTGGTGTCTAGGATTATAACAGCCAAATAAACAAACATATAAACAAACCAACATCCTATCTATTATATATATATATATATAAAATATATATATCAAATATATATACATAATAATAATATATATAATATATCATATATATAATATAATAATAATAATAATGATAATAATAATAAATTATATTCATATGTATTTCATTGGATTAGCTGTCTTAAATTGTGAAATATGCAATTTGGCAGTTCTTCTTGTTTACATTGAAATTTCAAAGCAAATGTACCACCAATTGCCGCGAACAAAAAGTGAACCTCTTAGACTGCATTTGGGGAGTGTTACCAGTAGAGTTATTTGAAATTAACATAACCTTCCCATGAGAGATTGAATTTTGCAAGCAGTTTTCACAGGCCAAAAATATTGTCTATGAAAAAGAAAGATAATTTTAGAAAAAAAGTATCTTTTTCAAACAAAATAAACATTTTCTAATTTTTAGTCCCTTGTTTTAATTTAACGTATGTAAAACCCCAAAAATATTTTTTGTTTTCAAATTGGTAAAATGTAGGTTTGATAAACTGTCTTAGGATTCGCTATCGAAGCATTTTACGAGTTTAGGATAACAAGTGAAAAATCATATAACTTTTTGTGGTTCAAACAATCTGCCTGTCAAGAATTCACTATGTGTCTAAGAATACATTGTCTATTTCTAAGGCTCGTGTACATGTTTTTACAATACTTTACCTGGAAGTACCGGTTTCTCAATCCATCCGGTTCCGGTATTCTGTGAAATTTCACTAGTTTCTTTATTTCCATTAGGTCCTTGATTTTCTCCTTTGCTAAGAGAGTTTTCTACAATTTTATTTTGATCATCCGGTTCATGGAAGGCTGCGAACAAACAGCGAATTTTTAGATTTTAAATTGGAAAGTAACTAAAATAAAATTGTTTCAAACTAACATAACTTTAAAATAGCAATTAAGACTTGCAAGTAATTTTTCTTATAAATATTCTTGTATAAACATTTTTCAAGACAAAAGTAACATTTTCTCATTCAGTATCTTTTTTTGTAAGTTGAAAAAAAGTAAAATTAAAATTTGAAAACAATGAAATAGCAATAGCCACTGAAAAGTCTAAAGTATTGCTGAGATTACAGTAAACATTTTATTTCTGTTCCCTTCGACAGTTCAACTGAAGTATCTGGAGGCTTTTAATGCCGTAACATCTCGTTTTGTTAAGGAGTCCATTTTTACAAGGCGAACGTACCTGGTATTTTGGCTTCTTCATGTTTAAAATCCCCAGTTCTAGCACTAGGCTGATCTGTTCGACTATTTGTAATACTTTTGCCTTCTCCATTCCCACTGGGTCCTTGGCTTCCCTCATTTTCTGAAGGGATTCTTCCAAATCCTACAAAATGTCTTTGGATTTTAGACAATATTTTGGGATATTTGTCTACGATTAAACAAATCAACATCACAATGGAACAATGCCAACAACAATAAAACATTTATTTGTGTAACTAGCTGTGAAAACTTTACCAAAATATCTATGAATGTTCGTCAATACCAGTACTTGAAAATTGCTCGATTTCGAGCAACAGGTACAGTAGTTTGATTTATTTTAAGAAAATCAACAGACATTGGCCGGTGCTGCCTATGCGTCTGCTAGGTAAAAAAAAATGTAAACCAAATTATAATAGAATATATAAAATTAAAATAAAAAAGCTAAATCTTAAATAAAAAAGCTCGTACGATAAGTCTGTTGAATTAATTAAAAAAGTCACCTTTTTGTCAACGTACATTATAATAGCGTGTACATTATAATAGCCTTACCTTTATTCACCACCGAATTGTGACTGGGTAATTTTCTCGTAGTAATTTGTTTGTCTGTCATGGGTAACTGGGAGTGCTTGTTCAAGAAAATCTTTGAGGAGCCTGCGAAAACATAAAATGCATTCTTTCAATGACTTACAGATAAAGAGAATCAGCAAACTGGCAAATACTTCCACCCATTAGCTTGACCTTGGCAATAACCCCATAATCACGGGGATTAGTGGGATTAACTTTGATATATTAATGGGGATAATCAAAAAAGTAACAATCACTTCTGAACCGTAATTTTACATCAATAGAGATGTACCAATGTGTTTGGAGTAAAAATAACTATAACATAGCCTACTAAATATTAATCAAATATTTTCAAGCAATTTGTTATCGTAGTTTACGTTGTTTTATGGGTTTTTATAGGAAAATCATAATTAAAATTGAATTTTTTTAAAAATTCAAAGAAACCTGGAGAGACCACGGATGGGCCCACGTCCCAGATGTAATAAAAATCGGACCACGGTTGTGGTATGTAGACCAGTACACACCCTTACACACACATCAACATCACAAACGATCCTGTTAATATTTCTGCATCAAAAAACGATAAAATTATTAATGTTTATTTTGATTGAGATATAACTGCTGCTAGTTAAACACATTGTTATCTTTTAGTTGTGTCTGAGAAGATATTATAATGTTATTTTAGAAAATGAAAATATATATATATATATATATATATATATATATATATATATTACATTTTACTTCTACTTTTGAAATACATTCTGAAATATTTACATATTTAATTTTCATACAACCAATTATACAAAGGCCTAACTAAAAATTTGTTGCATTATAAAATATTAATAAATAAAAAAGTCTGCTTTTCAAGGTCACAGGAAGTTAATGTATTAAATATAATAGTATAACTAAATTGTACTTACCTCATACCTCGTATACCAAATATCATAAAAATATCTTAAAAAATTACTTTAATTATTACAGTTTGAAATTCAAGGGTAGTTCACTCTAAATCGAAAACTTGTTGTAAAAACATTGATTTTAATCCTTATTGCGCATTATTTTTTAAGTTTCAGAATCATTTTTATAATTTTTAATTTTTATTAATATAATAAAAATAAGGGATGAAACAACCCTTTACACAAGTGAAAATAATTTTAAATACTAAAAAAGACAATATAAGTACAATGCACTAAATAAGTACAATGTAAATACAAATAAGACAATAAGTTAAAAATATTCGATATAAGGATGTAGGTTGTTACAGGAATTTTATGAAACTATTTAATCGTCAATTACCACAATCTTAAAATACATTAACCAACCACATAGTTGTACACATTATTGTATTTAGCTTTTAATAAGCTGTATGTATTGAAAGTAAAGCGTATACACAGATTTGTAATTGAAATGTCAAAATATAAACATCGTGTATTTCCTCATTATTGACATGGAGATTTAATTTTCAAAATTTAATTTTCAATCTTCACATCGACCCTTTTAATGCCTTCTGGGCAGAGCCCGAGGACGATATTTTAGCGGGAATAAGGTTGTAACACACACACCTCCTAATTTTCCACAGAGCTTGCAACAAAATGTTGATGGCACATGTTGCCAATCGGTGTTGTAGACAAATGTTTTAAACATTTTGTAGCAAACCACGGCACAAACGCGACTCAAACCCAATACTGCAAACAGATGTTTACAAATTCTTGTGAAAAACAAAGCTTTTGTAGCAAAAAACTGTCAACTGATGTCAACATTTTCGAACTTGCGGGTTTTCCTATTATTAAACCTTTGTTAAAACAGTGTTGTAATCTATGTTGTGAACGCGGTTTTGGACTTTCATGTACGGACTCCCTCGAAGAGATTGCTATTTTTTATTAATATACTGGACCTTCAAAATACGCTACAAACGTATAGGGTACTACCATACAGAGCAAAATCGTGGAACATCAAAATGCTGGTATAAAGTAATTTGATTTGCAAAACCATTTCAAATAAATTCTTGATTACTTACAATGTGACTTGAGTAAGTAAGTAAAGAAATCAAAGACATAGGAATGGGGAAAATTATGAAGCACATTAACCCTTCATTCAAACTGTCTATTAATCGCTATGCATTGATAACAAAACCATATTTCATAAGCCAAAAAGTTGAAACTATTTTTTTTATATTTAGTTGGTTTGCCATGTTGTTCACATTGATCATAATCGAATAAAGACCCAAGGGGATTTTTATACATATGTATTTATTATAACTGTAGACTTTCAAGTTTGTAGCGTGTTCGAAAAGTCTGGTGAATTAATTAAAAGAGACTTCTTTGGCAACATCGAGTATAATAGTGTAGAATATACAGACTTACCTTTATTCATCTGCGAAATATGACTGGGTTTTTCACTCGCAGGAAGAAGATTGCTTGCCTTCACGATCTCGATGAGTTTCTCCAAGAATCTCAAAAGGAAGCCTGCGAACACATAAATGCATTCACTTTATAACTACATACACACTATACACACATTATACATCAATGCATTATCAATGCATTATACATTGTACATTATAACTTTCCAAATAAATTCTATTAGCAAACCGGCAATCAAAATCGTCCAAGAAGTTTTTATCATTTTACGTAGTTTTATGGGGGTTATAGGAAAAATCATAATTAAAATTCAAAAATTGAAAGAAAGAAAATTCAAAAATTGAGCGATGCGAACGAGCTCATCTTGAAAATAAACTAGCATTTGACATAAAACCACATTAGGACAAGACGGCGTCTGTCAGGCCAGCTAGTAAAAAAATATAATGATTTGTTTATGTAAACATACACTATAACCTCTAATTAAAATATTGGTTTTAACACTTGAACGATTCAAATAATAATATTTATGACTTATGAACACTTCACACACATTAAGTGAAATTTTCACTTCACAACACTATACTTTCACATTTTCCATAGTTAATCTTCGTACTTCATCTTCAAGCAATAAATGATACACTATAACTATCGGTAAACTAATATAGTAAATACTTCTTCATAAAAACGAATAAAATATTCTAAGAAATATAACGACACCCAAATTAGCTGATGTACAAATATGATAAAGAACTATTTTTTCTGTCCATTATTTCAATATATAGTTCATTAATAAGAATTGATATGTAACTATATGTAGCGTGTTTGAAAAGTCTGGTGCATTAATTAACACTTGTAACCTTCTTTGGCATCATGCAGTAGAATGGCGTGGAATATACATCCTTACCTTTCTTCTTCTTTGCAAAGAAACCGGATAGTTTACTCTTAGTGGGATGTCCGTCTGCCATCTGGAACTCTTGAAATTTGCTCATCCACAAATTAAAGGAGCCTGCTAAAAGATAAATGCATTCTTACAATTATAACTTTCTAAATAAACTGGCAAATATTTCCTCCCATTAGTTGTTAAAAGCCCTTTGTTGCCATACGGCTGTTAGGATGGATGTTATGACATTCCATTCATGTTGGAAACTAGAATAGAACCTTAAGACCCTGTCACACATGGCGAGTTTACTCGCCGCTACTACAGAAAACATACTACTATAACCCAGAATGCCAACCGCATGGTAAAAACCATTAGGCGTTTTGAGAGAGTTTTGCCTGTCAATCCGTAGGCAGCGCCACCAGCGTTGCCATGCACTCAGCATAGCAACGCTGGTGGCGCTGCCTACGATTGATAGGCAAAGCTCTCTCAAAACACTTAATGGTTTTTACCATGCGGTTGGCATTCTGGGTTATAGTAGTATGTTTTCTGTGCCGCTACTTAGTCACCACTTGTACTCGCAGGCTGAAAAACACTTTCAGTCACACATATGGCGAGTTGGGGCGGCTACTTCAGTTTGATGGTTGTGTAGAATAAATTACTGTGCTGAGGAAAATGTCATGTTTGGGATTAAATTTTAAGACGTATGCTGCGGATTTGCGTAAGTGATCTGTGCAAAAAACAAGAACAAGAAGAAACGACGGTGGGTTCGGGAGTGGTTAGGGAGACGAGAGGGTGCTTCATCAATACTAATGAAAGAATTGGCAAATGAAGGACCCCAATAATATTTTAAAATAATGAAGATACCCGTTAAAAAATATCAGCAAGCCCATTTCGTGCGCTTCAGTGTGGGGCTCAAAATCACTGCACAGACAACTGCTATCCGACATATGAACAGGGTGAATTGTAATCAAATTAATCTGTGTAAAGTTAAATTAGCCTGTTGGATGAATACAGTCATTAGGATTGCTATGTCAGATTCCAACAGAATTAATGTCTAATAGTCCATTATCTTCTCACCTTACATGTATAACTAATCTGAGACGTTTGTGTATTTCGGTCTTTTGGTGGAATTCAACTAGTTCGTGCTCCTTGAATTGGTGTCCCACAAATTGCTTCGAACGAAAAGGGAACCCCTAAGGCTTGTATTTGGGAAATGTATACAGTAGAATTATTTAAAATTAATTAAACACTTCATAATGTGAGGGATTGAGATTTGCAAGCAGTTATCACAGGCAAAAAAATAAAAAAAATCCAGAAAATATAAAGATATTATTGTTGTAGAAAATAGTATATTTTTAAAACAAAATAGTAGTTTTCTAGTTTAGTTGCTTGTTTGAATTTAGCGTATAAAAATTGGCAAAAGGTGTGGAAACAGTCTTAAAAATCGCTATCCAAGCATTTTTGAGTCAAGATTAAGAGTGAAAATCATATAAATTTGTGTTGTTAAAACAAATTTGCATGTCAACAACTCTCTTTGTGTCTAAGAATCCATTTTCTATTCCTAAGGCTAGTGTACCTGTATTTTACACTAGTGTACCTCTAGGTAACGGTTTCCCAACGCCCCTGGTTCTGGTATTATGTGAAATTTCACCGTTTTCTTTATTTCCATTACGTCCTTGATGTTTTCCATTGTTAAAAAAGTTCCCTCCGTTTTTCTTATGGTCCTCCAATGCATTAATTACATTTTGAATTGCTGTGAATAAACAATGAATCTTATAGATTTTCAATATAATTTAAATCTAATCTAAGTTCAAAATAATTCAATCTTAGTTTCTCTTTAGTATTTTTGCCTAGGGAACAGAGTGGTAAAGATTGTGTTATAACATCTTTTAAAGACAAAATTAGAACTTTCTTATTCAGTATAATTTTTTGGAAATCGGCAGAAGGTAACATTTAAAGTTTAAAAACAAATAAACAGCAAATTGCTATAGCAATATCAAAAGTTTTAGTTTAGTTTAGAGTAAACATTGAATATCAGATTAGGTTGATTGTTCAACCCAAGTTTCTGGAGGCTAAAATATCTGCATGACGTCACATCTTGTTTTGCCAAAGAATCCTTTTCTAATAAGGCAAACATACCTGCTATTTTGGCTTCTATATTTTCAACATCCGGAGTGCTAGCACCGAGGTGATCTGTTTGTCCATTTGCAATCCTTTTGTCTCCATTCCCTTTGGGATCGTGGTCAAATTCTCCCAATAGTCTTAGGATATCAGACATAAGTTCGGGATTTTCGTCTGTGAATAAACAAATCAACATCATAATGGATACGGCCAAAGACAAAAATATCCAGAGACAAAAAAGCTGTGAAAACTTTACCAAAATATCTATAAATGTTCGTGATGATGATAGTAAGGGCAGTAGTAATAGTCAATTAAAATAGTAAATTGGAATCGAAAGATCTGTATACTGTTGCATGGATGCAGTCATTAGGCTTGCTATGTCACCTTCCAATAGAATTTATGTCTAACAATTCATTCTCTTTTCACCTTACCAGTATCACTAATCTGAGATGTTTTTGTATTTCCGTCAATTGGTTGAACTCCACTAGTTCGTGTTCCTTGAATTGGTGTCCCACCAATTGCTGAGAATGAAAAACAAACGTTTTAATCTTGTATTTGGGAAGTGTTTACAGTAAAATTATTTCAAATGAACATGATCATCCTATGTGAGATTGAAATTTGTTATCGAATATTACAGACGAAAAATATCTGGGAAGAAAAATAATAATAATTGTTGTATAAAATAGAAAGTCTTTTTAAAACAGAATTGAAATTTTTTTCATCCAGCTACTTGTTTAAATTTAATAAATAGAAATTAGTAAAAAGTGTGGAAACAGTCTTAAAAATCGCTATCCAAGCATTTTTTGAGCTTAGAATAAAAGTACTTTTTGTGGTTAAAAAATCTGCCTGTCAACAATTCACTATGTGTTTAATAATCCATTGTCTATTCCTAAGGGTCGTTTACATGTTTTTACACTACTGTACCTGGATCTACCGGTTTCCCAATCCCTCCGGTTCCGGTATTCTGTGAAATTTTACCATTTTCTTTATTTCCATTAGGTCCTTGATCTTCTCCTTTGCTAAGAGAGTTTCCTACCTTTTTATTTTGACTATCCGGTTCATGGGGTACACCATGAAGGGCTGCGAATAAACATTAAATATTAAAGATTTTAAATTGGCAATTTACTTAAATAAAATAATTTTAAACTAACATAGCTTTAAAATTGAGATTGACAAATGCAAGTAATTTTTATTATAAGTATTCTTGTCTAGGAACCAGAATAACAATGATTGTTGTATAACATCTTTGAAGACAAAAGTACAGTTTTGTCATTCAGTATCTAAAAGTACAATCTAAAATTTGAAAAAGAAATAGCAATCGCCATCGGAAAGACAAAAGTATTGCTGATACTACAGTAAAAATTGAGTTGCTAATCTCTTCGACAGTTCAACTGAAGTTTCTGGAGGCTAAAATGCCATCACATCTCGTTTTGTTCAGGAATTGTATACAAGGCGAACGTACCTGATGTTTTGGCTTCTTTGTGTTCAAAATCCCCAGTTATAGAACTAGGCTGATCTGTTTGACTATTTGTAATACTTTTGTCCTCTCCATTCCCAATGGGTCCCTGGCTTCCCTCCTTTCCTGAAGGACTTCCTCCAAATCCTACAAAATGTTTTTGGATTTTAGACATTAGTTTGGGATGTTTGTCTATGATTTAACAAATCAACATCAAAATGGAACAATGCCAACAAGAATAGAAAATTCAGTTGTGTAACTAGCTGTGGAAACTTTACCAAAATATCTATGAATGTCAACAATTCTCTAAATGTCTGAATCCATTGGTTTGTTCCTAAGGCTCATGTGCCTGTTTTTTACACCACCGTACCTGGAAGTACCGGTTTCCCATTCTCTCTGGCATCGGTACTCTGTGATACATCACTATTTTCTTTATTTACATTAGGTCCTTGATTTTCTCCTTTGCCATGAAGGTTTTCTGCCTCTTTCTTTTGGTTCTCAAATGCACTGACTAGACCATGAAGGGCTGTGAATAAACAGTGAATATTTTAGTTTTTAAATAATTAGCAAGCAACTAAAATAAAATAAGTTCAAACAAACATTACTTCAAAATTTGGAGTGTCACTTGCAAGCAGATTATCTTGAGTAGTATTCTTGTCTAGGAAAGAGAATGATAATGAATGTTGGATAAACATATTTTTAAGTCATTAGTATTATTATCTCATACAGTATATTTTTTTGGAAATTGGCAAAAAGAAAAAAATTACACAGCTATCGCTATAGAAATTTTACAAGTTTTGTTGGGTTAAGATTTTGAAGTTGAATATCAGATTAGGTTGATTGTTCAACCTAAGTTTCTGGAGGCTAAAATATCTGCACGTCGTCACATCTTGTTTCGTCAAAGAATCCATTTTCTGATGAGGTAAACGTACCTGCTATTTGGTCTTCTGTATATTTACTATCCTCAGTGCTTTTGTCTTCTCCATTCCCATTGGTTTTGTGGTCAAATTCTTCTAAAATCTTTTGGATGTCAGACATTAGATCGGGATTTTCGTCTGTGAAAACAAATCAACGTCACAATGGATACGTCTATCAAAAACAGAAAATTCCTTTGTCTAAATAGCTGTGGAAACATTACTAAAATATCAATGAATGTTCGTATTGATGATAGCACGGGTAGTAGTAATAGTAAATTGTTTATAGGCAAGTTTTCACTGATTTCCAAGGAAGGTTTTTATTTATTTTATTTCGAATGGATATGAATAAATTGTATAACAATAGTTGTATTCGGATTCTTTGTATTCTAAAGAATAAGTTCATGTGAAATAGAGCGAGTGAAACAATAATTAAAATAAGCCTTCACTTTTATGATTGCGTGTTTCAGGATCAAATTAAATGCTAAGCTTTTGTTTTAAAATTACATGGTGTGTAATTTTACCCTGGTTCTGAGTTGTCAAATGTTGTAAGACAATCTAGAAAAGATACAAATAGAAATTGGTAATGAAACATGCAAAAATTTTATCATGGGTGATGAATCTTACTCAAGATCAGTGTTTGACACTCAGCAGTACCAAATTTTACCTTCGCGAGATGGCGAGTACGCTGGATACGTGGAACTACAATGTATCTGTGAACATACACTAACAATTCTTTCGAGTACACAGGGATGTTGCTTGAGAAGATGTGACTTACTATTTCAGTTCTGGTGAAGAATTGTGTGACTTGATGTTTAATGGTTAACTCGGTTCATTACAGAGTAAAAAAATTAATAATCCCCAGGGTGTGAAAAGAACAAAAATAAAAAGAAAAGGCAAAAGTATGTGTTGAAGAAGTTCCTGCTTCTTAAATTGGTGCCCTACCGATTGCTGCGAATGAAATGAAGAGTGAACTCTTTGACATGTATTTGGGAATTGTGTACAAAATTAACATAACCTCCCTATGTGAGATTGATAATTGCAATCGGTTATCACATCCCAAAATATCATCCAGAAAAAAATTAATTATTGTTGTAGAAAATAATATCTTTTAGTTTTAAAAACATAATACAAGTTTTATCATTTAGTTGTTTGTGTAAATTTAACGTATATAAATTGGTAAAGGGTGTAAAATAGTCTTAAAAATCACTATCCATGCATTTCTTTTTAGTTTGGAATAAAAAGCGAAAAATCATATAACATGTTTTGGTTCAAAAAATCTGCATGTCAACAATTCTCTATGCGTCAAGAATCCATTGTCTATTCCTAATGCTCGTGTACCTGTTTTTACACTACTGTACCTGGATCTACCAGTTTCCCAATCCCCCCCGGTCCGGTATTCTGTGAAATTTCACCATTTTCTTTATTCCCATTATGTCCTTCATTTTCTCCTTTGCTAAGAGAGTTTTCTCCTTTTTTCTTATCTTTTCCAAATGCACTGAGTACATCATGAAAGGCTGTGTAAAAACAGTGAATCTTTTAGATTTTACATAATTGACAAGTAATTAAAATAACATAAATTACAAACTAACACAACCTCAAAATTGAGATTGGCTCTTGCAAGCAATTCTCTCTTTAGTAGTATTCTTGTCTAGAAAAAAGGGAATACAATTGATTGTTGTATAAACTTATTTTTGAGACAAAGGTAAACATTTCTGATTCAGTAGGCTATCTTCGTTTTGAAAATTGGCAAAAATTAATATTTAAAATTTGAAAACAAAGAAACAACAATCGCTATAGAATTATCAAAAGTGTTAAGAGTAAATTGAATATAAGATTACTCTGATGGACTTAAGTTACTGGAGGCTGAAATATCTGCATGATGTCTTATTTTGTTTTGTCAAAGAATATATTTTCTAATAAGGCAAACGTACCTGCTTTTTGGGCGTCTGTATATTTAGCATCCCCAGTGCTAGCACCGGGCTGATCGGTTGGACCATTTGTAATACTTCGGCCTTCTCCATTCCCATTGGGTCCGTGGCCAAGTCTTTCCAAAACTCTTTGGATTCCAGGCTTTAGTTCGGGAGTTTTGTCTGCGAATAAACAGATCAACAAAACAATGGATACGGGCAACAAAAACAGAAAATTCCTTTTTATAAATGATCGGAAGTAGTAGTAATAGTAAATTTTTAATGGCAACTTTTTACTGATTTCCATGGAGTGTTTATATTTATTTAATCTCGAAGGGAAGTGGATCAAAGAATTTGATATTGTGAAAAATTATAGATAAAACATACCCTATTGCTTAGTCTATGGAAAAACCTACAGCATAAATAAAAATTACCAACTTATAAGAGCGAAGATGATATGAGGTAAGTTTGGGATTTTAAGACCTAGTCCAAATTTTTAACTTGCTTTTTGACTGATGTCTATAGAATCTAATGGCTATTCCCAAAGCTGGTTGATATATTTTTACACTACCGTACCTGTAAGTACTGGTTTGCCAATCTAATTCACTATGTGTCTAAGGATCTATTGTATATTCCTAAGGCTCGTGTACCTGTTTTAAACTACTGTACCTGGAAGTACCGGATTCCCTCCGGTTCCGGTATTCTGTGAAATATCACTATCTTCTTTATTTCCATTAGGTCCTTGATGTTCTCCTTTGCCATGAAGGTTTTCTGCCTTTTCCTTTTGGTTCTCAAATGCATTGACTAGACCATGAAGGGCTGTGCATAAACAGTGAATCTTAGTTTTTCAATAGTAGGGAAAATGATTTCAAACTAACATAACTTCAAAACTGAGATTGACACTTGGGGACTTGCAAGCAGTTTCTCTTTAGTAGTATTCTTGTCTAGGAAAGAGAATGATAGTTATTGTTGTATAAACCTATTTTAAAGTCAAAAGTAGAATTATATCATTCAGTATCTTTTTTAATTAGCAAGAAGTAAAATTTAATATTTGGAATCAAAGAACAGCAATCGCTATAAAAATATCAAAAGTTTTGTTGAGTTTAGAGTAAAAATTGAATAGTGGATTACTTTGATGGTTCAACCGAAGTTTCTGGGAGTTAAAAGATTTGCACAACGTCACATCTTGTTTCGTCAAAGAATCCATTTCTTAATGAGGTAAACGTACCTGCTATTTGGGCTTCTGTATATTTATTATCCCCAGTGTTAGCACTATCTGTTTGCCCATCTGTAATACTTTTGTCTTTTCCATTCCCTTTGGGTTCGCTGTGAAATCCTTCCAATATTCTCAGGATTTCAGACATTTGTTCGGGATTTTCGTCTGTGAAAAACAAACAACAACAAATCAACATTACAATAGATACGGCCAATAAAAACAGAAAATTCCTTTTTGTAAAAAAATAAAAAATACCGACTTTTTGGATCGAAGATGATAGGAGACATGTTTTGTATATTTTGGACTCAATTCAAATTTTCGACTTGCTTGTTATTGGATGTCTTTAGAATTTATTGCGTCTGATATTTCTTAAAGCTACGACCACCAACCATATTTTTTGTTGAACTACCTCTAGTTATTAAAATGACGTAAAACAATACAGTTTTTATCTTCTAATTAATTCTATACCATTGTTTGCATTAACAATGGTACTTCAGGGACATGCAAAAAAATTATTTATGTTTAAAAATAAAAATGGCATGTCATTTTAGACTGACCTCCCATACAGTTTAAACAAACTATTTCTAAATGTGGTAATTCCGAGCCAAATGTTGGTCAACTTCAATTTTCTCATATTACTGTTGTTGTCTTTACGGAGAAAGCAGCGAAATGCATTTATATAGTACGCTTCACTGAGTTCTAAAACTAGGTAAAGATTTATTTTACGTTCAATATCAAGTACTTTAGTTGTGTGTTGTGTTGTTCTTTCCTATCTGCAAGCCTTGATGCTCAAAATCACCAAAGGATTGCCAAGCCCATTTCGGGTGCCTCAGTGCGGGGCTCAATATCACTGCACAAACAACTGCTGTCCAACATATGAACAGGATGAATTGGAATCTTAAGATACAGTTAAATAGGCCTGTTGGATGGTTACAGTCAGGCTCACTATGTCAGCTTCCAACACAATTAATATCTAACAATCCATTCTCTTCTCACCATACCTTTTTCACTAATCTCCTTGACATTAGTGTCCAATGTAATGCCGCGAATGAAAATGATATTGAAAATTGTGAGCAGTTATCACAGTGCAAAAATATTGTCCGGAAAAAATAAACACTTATTGTTTTAGAAAATAGTATCTTATTAAAAACTAATACAAATTTTTATTATTTAGTTGCTTGTTTGCATTTAACGTTTAAAAATTGGTGTGGAAACAGTCATAAAAAATTCCATCCAAGCATTTTTTATAGTTTAGAATAAAAAGTGAAAATCATATAACTTTCGAGGTTCAAAAAATTTGCATGTCAACAATTCTTTGTATCTAAGAAATAAGAATCCATTGTCTATTCCTAAGGCTCGTTTAAATGTTTTTACACTACTGTACCTGGATCTACCGGTTGCCCAATCCCTCCGGTTGCGGTATTGTGTGAAATTTCACCATGTTCTTTATTTCCATTAGGTCCTTGATTTTCTCCTTTGCTAAGTGAGTTTTCTCCCTTTTTCTTTTCTTTTCCAAATGCACTGAGTACGTCATGAAAGGCTGCGAATAAACAGTGAATCTTTTAGTTTTTCAATAATTAGCAAATGACTAAAATAAAACAATTTCCAAATAACATAATTTAATAATTGAGATTGAGTCCTGCAATCAGTTTCTGTTCAGTATTCTTGTCTAGGAAACAGAATGATAATGATTGTTGTAAAAACTTAATTTTAAGACAAAAGTAACATTTTCTTATTCAGTATATTTCTTTTTATTGGCAAAAAGTATAAAAACAGCAATCGCTATAGAAATATCAAAAGTTTTGCTGAGTTTAGAGTAAAATTTGAATATCAGAGTACTTTGATGGTTCAACCGAAGTTTCTGGAGGCTAAAATATCTGCACGCCACCACATCTTGTTTCGTCAAAGAATCCATTTTCCTAAGGCAAACGTACCTGCTTTTTGGGCGTCTGTATATTTAGCATCCCCAGTGCTAGCACCAAGCTGATCGGTTGGACCATTTGTAATACTTTGGCCTTCTCCATTCCCATTGGGTCCGTGGCCAAGTCTTTCCAAAAGTTTTTGGATTCCAGGCATTAATTCGGGATCTTTGCCTGCAAATAAACAAATCAACAAAACAATGGATACGGGCAACAAAAACAGGAAATTCCTTTGTGTAAATAGATGTAGAATTTTGCCAAAATATCTATAGGCCTAAATGTTCGTATTGGTAACCTCAACTTCCCGCCGTGGATTTAATGGAAGTAAGAAAATATCCATGAAAGTACGGTGAAAATTAGGTCATAAATAAATAAACCTGTGTCCTGTATTCAAAACTTGCTATAATCAATGCTCTTAAAATTGTGAGTTTATTAGCTATTTGTAACAGTTGGCGTGATCTTGGCCTGAACCAAGTGTAACCGTGTGGTTATACATCTGGTCAGGGTAATATTTTGATTTTTAGTATGGTATATTACCGGGAGTTAACAGATTTAGTGGTAAAGCGTAAGGCTTTGGAACCTGAGGTTCCGGGCTCAAATCCCACCAGTGACCGGTGGTTGAACATCCGGTTATCGTAATATTTCGGGATTTATTATGGAGTAATATTGGGAGTTAACTGGTCCAGTGGTAAAGCGCAAGCCTTTGAAGCCTAGGTCATGGGTTCGAATCCTAGTAACCGATTGTTTCAAAAGAGTAATACTTCTTGTGGCTAATGGCTGTGCTAATTAGAGCGCGTTCCCGCCAAAATCAGCTGTTAGTAGTGTACAAGGTCAGGATAGTGGTGACATAACCTCAACTTTCCGCCAAGATCGAAATGCATACGTATTGACCTCACTGTATTGTAATATGACTTAATGTATGTAGTCTAAAACCAAATGTATCAAACATAACCTCACTTTTTGTAGGGACTGTAGTGCCATATACCTAAACAAGTCTAGACATATTGGAAAGTCTGAATTTTGTTTTTCATGTAGGTCATATTTGTGACGCTGGACGCTAGTGTAGATATTTTGGGTGAGGTTCATAATGTCCAAATTTCACAAACTCCAACGTCTAAAATATTAAATAAACAGTGCGTTTCATAATGTCCAAACTTCATAACTTTCAAATAAGCACAGTTTTACAATGTCCAAATTTCACAAACTCCAACGTTAATATATTAAATAAACAGTGCGTTTCATAACCTCCAAATTTCATAAACTCCAAAATTATAACTTTTAAATAATCACAGATTCACAATGTCCAAATTTCACAAACTCCAACGTTTAATTATTTAATAAACAGAGCGGTTCATAACCTCCAAGTTTCATAAACTCCAACGGTACAGTCTCTGCCAGAAGTCGCTGCAGATAGACTATTGTTGTGCCTGCTATCTGACTGTGGCAACCACTAGAGATACTTCTGGCCCAGACTGTACCGTTGGAGGTTATGAAATTTGGACATTATGAACCGCTCTGTTTATTTGGTATCCAAACGTTGGAGTTTGTGAAACTTGTACATAGTGAAACAGTGATTATCTGAATGTTATAGATTTGGAGCTTATGAAATTTGGAGGTTATGAACTGCTCTGTTTATTTAATATTTAAACTTTGGAGTTTGTGAAACTTGGACATTGTGAAACAGTGATTATTTGAATATTATAGTTTTGGAGCTTACGCGCTGTTCATTTAATATTTTAAGCGTTGGAGTTTGTGAGATTTGGAGTTAATGAAACGCTCCCGATATTTTATGTTTAAAAAAAGGTTTTATGGTCTGTTCTTTGGAGCCATTTTTACTGTGGTTGGATGAGTTATTGTTTAAATAGTTTTTTTTTTTTTTTTGAGGTATTGAATAACTATAAAAGAACAAGATCCTAGGGATCCAGCTGAGAAATCTATCAAGGGAGTATGTTTTCATAGCTTTATGATATATGTAACCCTACTTGTTGTAACTGATTTATTTAATCAATGAAAACTTTTTTCAATTACTTACCTGCGGGATCCGTGAATGTTGGATACTACTCACTTAAAACTGAGACTAGCTATGATAACTGACATTGGGATTCAACTTATTTTTTACTTGTTACTGCTAGAGTACATTAATTTACTAAAAAGTATCATGCATACCACTTATTACTTTTAGCGCACTGTATTTTAACCGACCTGGTTATTACACAATCACTTTCGTAGAAGATTGCCGGATTTGTAATCCAACATAGAGACAAGTACATCTAAAAACTAATGAGTAACTGAATTAAAATGGTAAGAGGTGTGGAAACAGTTTTAAAAATCGCTATCCAAACATTTTTAGAGTTAAGAATAAAACGTAAAAATCATTTACCTCTTTGCGGTTAAAAAAAATCTGGATGTCAACAATTAATTCTCTGTGTCTAAAAATCTATTGTCTATTCCTAAGGCTCGTGTACCTGTTTTTACACTACTGTACCTGGAAGTACCGGTTTCCCAATTCCTCCGGTTCCGGTATTCTGTGAAATGTCACTATTTTCTTTATTTCTATTAGGTCCTTGATTTTCTCCTTCGCTAAGAGACTTTTCCACCTTTTTATTTTGATCATCCGGTTCATGGGGTACACCATTAAGGGCTGAAATAAACAGTGAATCGTTTATCGTACACAAAATAATTTCAAACCAACATAACTTAAAGTTGAGATTGAGACTTTTTATTATTATATTGAGCAAGTAATTTTTACTATAAGTATTCTTATCTAGAAAATAGGAAGATAATGATTGTTGTATAACATATTTTAAGACAAATTTTTTTTTCATTCATTATCTTTTTTTGTATGTTTTAAAAAAGTGAAATTTAAAATTTGTTAATAAATAAATAGCAATCGATATTGAAAAGTCAAAAGTATTGCTGAGATTACAGTAAAAAATGAGTTGCTGATCCCTTTGACAGTTCAACTGAAGTTTCTGGAGGCTAAAATGACGTCACACCTCGTTTTGTTAAGGAATCCGTTTTTTACTAGGCGAACGTACCTGATGTTTTGGTTTCTTTAGGTTTAAAATCCCCAGTTCTAGCACTAGGCTGATCTGTTCGACTATTTGTAATACTTTTGTCTTCTCCTTTCCCACTGGGTCCTTGGCTTCCCTCATTTTCTGAAGGGCTTTCTCCAAATCCTAAAAAACACCTTTGAATTTTAGAAATTAGTTTGGGATATTTGTCTATGATTAAACAAAACAACATCACAATGGAACAATGCCAACAAAAATAGAAAACTCAGTTGTGTAACTAGCTGTGGAAACTTTACCAAATTATCTATGAATGTTCGTCTTGATGATAGTAAGGGGAGTAGTACTAATACATTGTTTACAGGCAAGTTTTTAATGATTTCCAAGGAGAGTTTATATTTATTATCTTCTCGAAGGGATATGCATGAATAAAATGAATGAAATAATATGTTTATTTTCCACATAATGTACAAAATGAACAAAATACACACTGACACGAAAATTATAAAATATAAAATTAAATTAAAAAATAAGAATATTTTCTGTATTACCCTATTTGAATTATTTAAAGAAAATCCACAGATATTGGAAAGTGCTGCCTGTGCGTCAGCTGGGTTGCTATTAAAAAAAGTAAACCAAATTATAATGGAATACATAGAATTAAAATAAACTGATATTAGTTTAGAACAAAAATTGAAAATCGTCTAACTTTTTGTGGTTCAAAAAATCTGCATGTTAACAATTCTCTGTGTCTAAGAATACATTGTCTATTCCTAAGGCTCGTGTACCTGTTTTTACACTACTGTACCTGGAAGTACCGGTTTCCCAATCCCTCCGGTTCCGGTATTATGTGAAATTTCACTATTTTCTTTATTTCCATTAGATCCTTGATTTTCTCCTTCACTAAGAGAGTTTTCTGCCTTTTCCTTTCTTTTCTTCAATTCATTTAGTACACCATGAAGGGCTGCGAATAAACAGAGAGTCTTTTAGATGTTCAATAATTAGCAAGTAACTAAAATAAAATAATTTCAAACTAACATAATTTAATAATTGCGGTTGAGTCTTGCAATCAGTTTCTCTTCAGTATTCTTTTCTAGGGAACATAATGATGATGATTGTTGTATATACTTCACAAAAGTAACATTTCCTCATTCAGAATCTTTTTTGGAAATAAGCAAAAAGAAATTTTTATAATTTGAAAACAAAGAAACATCAATCGTATAGAAACATCAAAAGTTTTGCTGAGTTTAGAGTAAAAGATTAATTAATATCAGATTACTTTGATGGTTCAACCGAAGTTTCTGGAGGCTAAATTATCCGCACGAAGTCACATCCTCTTTCGTCAAAGAATCCATTTTCTTAAGGCAACGTACCTGCTATTTGGGCGTCTGTATGTTCATCATCCCCAGTGCTAGCACTAAGCTGATCGGTTAGACCATTTGTAATACTTTGGTCTTCTCCATTTCCATTGGGTCCATGGCCAAGTCTTTCCAAAAGTTTTTGCATATCAGACATTAGTTCGGGATTTTTGTCTGTGAATAAACAAATCAACATCTTAATGGATACGGCCAAAACAAAAGACAATTCCCCCTTTTCATCACTCCATACTGAAAGTAACTATTTTCGATAACAGCTGAATCAAAGAAAGTTGTTGTTTCCCAAATTTAGATCGAGGGAAAAACGATCAGCTGATTTTCCCTCGTTCTAAATTTACTTTCCCTCGCTCTCGATTCGTTCTCCATTTATTCACTACACGCGCAAGAGCTTTGTTACGGGTTACGGTTTATTTTAATCATTAAATCAGCTGCTTTCATTTTTGCACAATCTAAATGTATACATAAACAGGAATTAGTTAGGTTTGCTGTGTAAATCAGCTGATTTCATTTTTGCACAATATAAATTTATACTGAAACAGGCATATATAGTGCGTGTTTGAAATTGCTCACTGGCAACAACACCCATAAATATACCAGTAAAATAGCGTAGAATATACGTACTTACCTTTCGTGTCCGAAAGAAGACTGGCTATTTCACTTTCGGTGGGAGGTTCGTCTGCGGTAGCGAGCTCGTAGAGTCTTTCCCACAAAGAATTAAGTAAGCCTGCAAAAACATAAATGCATTCGAATTATAACATTCAATACACGTTATCAGCAAACTGGCAAATACCTCCTCCCATTTCAATAATCCTTATCACGGGCAAGCGGTGGGAGTAACTTTGATGTATTTAAAATCACAAAAGTTACAATCACTTTTGAACCGTAATTTCACAGCAATTGGGTTGTACCATTTTGTTTGGAGTTAAAAGGGCTGTTACATACTAAATTTGAATCAAAATCAATCGAGCCGTTTTATAGTATTTCGTCGTTGTTGTTGTGGAAAAATCACCATAAAACTAACATATAAAAAAATTTTAGAAACCTGAAGATACCGTGATAGACCAACGTCCCAAATTTAATTTAAATCGGACCATAGGTGTGGTCTGTAGCTCTGAACACTTCCAGACACACATGCAGATACACACATCGACATTTCTTCGAAAAATATTAATTTGGGTTCAGGGAACCCAAAACCGATACGTCCACACAAAACTCAAACAGGAAAATGTTTACGAAAACAATACTTTCTCCTACATAAAGAAATTCTAAAACTTCACGTTCAGGTCGCAGTCATTTTAATGCGCTTGGATTGTGAAATTTAATTCGGTTTATATTTCTCATAACCAACGGATTATTCATATGCAGAAGTTCATTGTGCTCTTATCGTGTCTAATAACATCCAAACACAGAAACTTTGCCTTAAATAGTACCTATGTTGACAGATGATTTGCAGTGGCCTATTACGGACCGTGGCCCACTTGCTCGTAAGATTTTTTTAAATAACACTACAATTAGACTGTAAAAAATCACACAAAGAGTAATTGCAGATACTGTCATTACAGAAAGGTCATGGTCCTTTGTAATACATCTCATCATCCTTTAAACGTCACTATCTACTTAACAATTTACAGTATGTTCTTTTTGGAAATGCAGCTTTGCTTTGTCATTTGCATTATTTGTTGCCAATGAAGCCGCGCACGACCATATGAACGAGGCCCCAACAGTTCAAGAATTAAAGCCTACTACAAGTATATTCCACTACACCTAACATTATGAAGAGAGATTATATTGACAACTTTATGTAATTGATAAGGCTGAAACAACTGACATCCACCGCATGTCAAGGAATTCTAGTTTGACAGTAACACCACGACCACGACCAATTTATCTAAACTATGATAGAGGGTTATTCATTGGCACAGAATTACCATATGATGACCTGACGAAGCTTACACAGTTTAAGGGTGTACCTCCCTTTGAAGTAAGAATGTGCCTTCTCAACAAACAGATTTTTTTCCTCAAATAAAAGCATCGATTTAATCTGCATTACACCACTAATACGATTTTAATACTATTTAAAGGTAAACAAAATCAGTATAGTAATAATAACTCCGATGATGTAAGGTATTGGAAATATTTTATTCATTGAATGATCGACCATATTTTGTAACTAACGCAATAGTCATTATTGGTTTTACAATTATTACTCAGTAAAAAATGCTAAATGCTCAAAATTTGTATAATTTGACTGTATTTAACGCAGTTAGATGAGTTCGCGTATGCTTGAAAGTAACCCTCAATTTTGACGGGTTTCATCTAGTTTATAATACAAGCACAATAACCTTGGTAAGTTTGGCTAAAATGTGTTCAGCCGTTATTGCATGATTCAATTACACAGTTTGCATGAGGCGCGATCTCATAGCTCAGCTCAGTTACTAATTATTAACATAATTGTAATGCAACACGTGATCTTATGTAGATGACACACAGTAGGCCTACTTCTAACACCACCCAAAATTAAAACTCTAATGTTTGACCAAAACAATACTTTCTCCATAATACTATAGAGGGAGAAAGTAAAAGAGTAGGAGTCAATGTACACTAAAGCATATTTGAGTCCCAAATTCTATCATAGTAGACAAAACATTAAGAGAATTTTAATTCCTAATACTAGCTCACAGTGAGGCTCTTTTAGGTTTGTTAGAGCAAAAAATTGTCATAGATTAAAAATATAGGTATTAGCTCAGAGACTAAATAATTTGATTATTGAAGTCATTCGCTGTAAATCTTTACTTGGCAAACTTCGTCTGCTAAATTTGACTACGAAAATAAAATATATTAACATCGTTAATCGAATAAATTTCTGTTTTTATCGTGTCAAGTTGTATACTTTAATACTCTTAATACCTCTTTTGATATTAAGATCAATGAACACGTAAAATGGAGATATTTTAACTCAAATGTATCATTTCACTGTCTAAATAACATCAGATGTATAATTATCCTTAATATTTTCAAAATAATTTGTTGAATACATGACTAAAAGCAGTTTGTTTATTTTGGAAAAAGATGGAAACAATTTCGTTAGTTTATTTGGGTAAACAATATAGGCAACATTTGTGTGGGAATCCATCTAAAAGAATAGGGCATGGCAAAATAGTATTTCGTACCTAGGGCCGAAAATTAGGTTTTGCCGGCTCGAGATAGTTTTTAAGTTCGAGACGAAGTCGAGATCTTAAATCGATCGAGAGCTGCAAAACCATTTCGGTCCGTGGTACGAACGCTATTTTTCACCACACTATACCCTATTACCACTATTTACCATTATAATAATGCACACTGATAGTCAACACAACTACAACTTTAAGGTTATGTGAAGAAATAATTTAAGGAATCAGCAAAAATAAAAAGTTGCTAGGCAACGGTGACAGTAAAACAATTCTATTACAATGTTATGGATACTGATTGTGCATTCATGCACAACATTCATTCATAACATGCATTCATGTTTTAAGTTACTTGGTCCCCAAATAACGGTGACAGCTGTCATGGCCAGCAAAACGTAACTTTCAGCCACCAATTGTATGTAAAACCGCTAAAAACATCATAATGTGGTGAAAAAATAGTTAATTGAAATTGCACTAAAAACCAGCTGTTTTCACTGTGTGATTCCATAATAATCCCTTAATCACTTGTAACGAGTAGATCATAACTCACAACATTATGCACAAGATTTTAAAAACAAATCGATGAGTTTCGTAAGACAATACCTCGATTATGAAAGACGCACCAGATGAGAATAATAATAGCCATATACGATTTGTTCATTTTGTGTTCATACGTCCACCTCCTAACGCACAACACACTTTATGAAATGGCGTCTACACTGACTTTGACGAGTGCGACAGTTGGTGAAAACAAGTGCAGCTAAGTAAACAGTGATTAAATCAAACAGTGATTAAAGTATATCCTCAGTGAATCTGCCGCTATTTAGTGATATTCGCGAAATTATATTTTTAGTCAATAACATTGAGCCAGGTTTGCAGAACAGCGAAGCCTCGATAGCAAGATTCTCAGTATTAAACATACTCCGTAGTTAGTGTAGACGAAACTTCAAACGTTCCCCCTGTACTTGCATGGATTTTATTGTTTGACACAATATTCTTCCCGATTATCGAAAACATGTAGCCTATTATATATCTCACGAACGAGCCCCCCATACACGTAAAACGATCGGCCGGCCAGCGAGGGCCGGAAGGCCAAACTGAACAGTTTGGCCTGTGAAAGGAGGGTCCCCATACACGCAACGATTCGCCTGCCGGCCGGACTGAAATTTCTCCGCCTAGTGGCAAGTGTGCAGTCAGTTTTCGTACGGCAAAAACGTTTTTGTTAACCTGCTATAAGCTGGATCTTTTAAAAGTCCCTGTTGTGGTATGCCTTCGTTTTGACCCTCCTCCGACATTCATGTTTTCTTTATTCTTCTATAAAGGCTAGCACATGCTGATTAGTCCACGTAGCCATATTAGTACAAAGACTGAACAGAAAATAAAGTTAGGTTATGTCAATGACCGTGCCTGACCTTAAAAATGAACGTAAATAAAAAAATAATGCTACTATTGTACTGTCGGCCTTCCGGTGGCCTGCCGGCGACCCCATACACGTAACGATCGGCTTGAAGGCGGGGGTTGGCCGGACGACGACCCCATACACGTAACGATCGGCCGGCCGGCGTGGACTGTTCAGGCCGGGCCGGCCGGCCGATCGTTACGTGTATGGGGGGCCAACAAAATAATTTGTTGAATACGTCGCTAACAGCAGTTTGTTTATTTTGGAAAACAAGATGGAAACAATTTCGGTACTTTATTTGGGTAAACAATATAGGCAACATTTGTGTGGGAATCAATCTAAAAGAATAGGACAGGGCGAACAAATCGTTAATCAAATTGCACTAAAAACCAGCTGTTCCTTTGACAGTGTAATTACAAAATAATCCCTAAAGTAATCCACAATCACTAGGTATGAATAGATCATAACTCTCGACAGTGCGCACGAGATATTAAAAACAAATTGATGAGTTTCGTATGACAATTTACCTTGATTATGAAAGTAGCACCAGATGAAAATCAGAATAGCCATAGACGATCTGTCCATTTTGTGTTCATACGTTCACCTCCTAGCGCACAAAAACACACACACTTTATGAAAGTGGCAGCTACACTGACTTTGACGAGTGCGACAGTTGGTGAAAACAAGCTAAGTAAACAGTGATTAAAATAAAGTACAACCTCAGCGAGTTTGCCGCTATTTCACGTTATTCGCGAAAATATTTTTGGCCAATAACATATTTATTGAGGTTTACAGAACAGCGAAGCCTCGATAAGAAGACACTCAGTAACAAGTAGGATGGATTTCACACGACTCTTAATCACATGTTATTGCAACGTCGATAAAATGTCAACCTTGATAACGAGTGTCCTATTTGATCATCTCCATGATAGACTATTTACAGAGGTTCTGATGAATAATTTACGTCTAAATACTATTGAATAAATGTAATATAGTGATAACAATTGATATTTTTAGACAGATAATAAATTTAACTAAATATTATTTGTATATTGTTTTTAGCAACTGTCTTCTATTTCTGTAAAATTCTTGATTAGCCTGGAGATACCATGGTATCTCCACCAGTAGTACCATCAGCATTTGGTGGTAGTACCCACATACCAAATTTCATAAAAATTCGAGGTGTGGTCTTTAGCTATGTACACATCCGCACACACATACAGATACACACACAAACAGACATAGAACCAAATCTTTGGGTTCAGGAGGACCCAAAACGGATATTCACCCAAAACTCAAACTCAAAAACTTTGACGAAAACAATACAGTACTTTCTACAGAGGGGGGAATAGAAAGACTCCCTTGTGAAACTAACTTCATATACAGTTTTTGGACGAGAAATGCACATATCCAACTATGAAAAATTGTTAACACTGTATTAGCAAAGGGTGATAGAAATGGCCTTTAGCAACATTGCCAACTTAAACATTGGGACGCGAGTGTTAACTTTCCGGGACATGTGAGAAAGTTTGGTTAGGCGTAATGCAAGCTACAATGTAAAGCTTATTACATTTCAGGATTTAAAGTTCTTAATTTCTACCTTATTAACTAGGTCGGAAGGTTTCCTTTTACTTTTACCTTTAAATTTCTTAACCAATTTGTGATCGTTTTTTTAGCTGAGTTGTGACTATAACGACTTTTATTTCGGCAAGGTGATGGGTTCTTTTTCTTCTAGGCACTAGGCACGAGCCCGGGATAGTTTTTCACAACTTTACCTAGCAGTTGTGGCATTATAACTTAGTTAAAAATCAATTGGGGATTTTGATGGAATTTGAACCCGGGACCTCAGGGACCGAGTTCCCGCGCTCTAACAACTAGACCAGCTGCTCCCCAAGGAGATGGGTTGGATTCCTGACATATTCAAACTTGTTTTAGGGGTATGAAAGTCTTCGATTTGGGAGTTTTTGGTGTAAAATGAAACCGGACAAACTTAAAACAAATTGTACGTAAAATACCATGATAGTGCTTTAAAACAAAATGTGGGTTTTCATTAAACATATTTCATGGTGTAATAGATTCTTATTTATTTCGTCCTTAATTAAGCAATCATTGTTATATTACGTTCAGCTGAGTTTCGTATTCAAGAGTAGACTACTCAGGTCAACAAACCTTAAGTTGTTATCGAAGGACTATACAGCCTCAAAGTTTTAGACCTGAGTATGTACTTTTGAGTACGAAACCGATTTTTCATTTCCCACATACACATCTTAAGGATCGAGATTTTTTTTCCTCTTTTAACCTTGCATTTGCCCGTCCACATAGACTACAGATCTGTGCGTGGAACGTGTCCAGCGAATAACGAAAAATATCCTTAAAAACATAAAAAAATAACAGGGCTTTTATTAACATGCATATGGCAAGTTCCGGAATAAATAGCGTTCAGAACGTCACGTGGTCTACGTCACGAACCACGTGGGCGTTACAGAAGCGTGACGTAACAGTGTCAGTTGCAGGCAGGCTCTGCTTGTTGTCATTGTGCGTCATGGTTCTGTCAAGCTCGTTTATTATTTTTCGAGTCAGTCAAAGAATGGCAGGTTGAAACAATGACTGGGTTGTAGGCCGCACGCAAAATAATACTATGCAATACTTAAATGTAAGTAATTGGTTGGGAAAAGAATTAGTATTGTTAGCCTCTGGTAACCTAACAAACATGGTACCATGATTGCTAGAAAACAACAACTCAAGACAAAAAAAGTACTGTGATTGGAATTTCTCCCATTTGTTTTGATTTTCAGTTTATATTTTGATGTCACCAACATGGCAATCTATAAACCCATGTTAATCTTTTTAATTTAAAATTTATTTTTTGTGCTTATTTTTTAGCCTATTTTAATTTATAAAGGGATTCTGCACATCTACAGGCAAATATTATCTTTCTAACAGTATGCGTAGATTTTCCCTGCGATGCACTGGAGCTGAGAAAAAATGTTGTTCGGTGTTATTTAAGAGACTTACAAGAACGAAGAATTTAACCCAAAACATGGAGAAAACGTTGTTTTACACAAATCGTTGTACCAAACACTAATTGCACCATTCGACAATTAAATTAGCCAAACAGCTGATTCGTTGAAGTTCAAATAATTACAATTTTACTTCTCCTCTCTCAAAACTTGAACCTCATTGGTCCGTTACCCGTGTTGCTATGTAAAACTATGCAGTTATGAAAGTAAACAACACTGTTCTAAGAACTGAACTGAAAAGGCTAGTTTACAAAACGGTCGTAGGTAAAAACCCTTTTAAGGATAAATCACTTTAATTTGGCCGATTTGATAATCGGAGCAAGGACGAAGTCGGATCAAGTTTCGGCGATGATTTAGACGAGCATTTGCACGATTAATGAGTCATAAACGACCTATAACTCAGGTTTAGTCAGCTCGTCGTAAACCAACTAGTAGAGCACGTGGAAGGCCCTCATGTCTCGTTATATTATATAACTCATAGATAGTGTTGTATCCTATTGTACGTAATTGTATGAGTGTGTCGTATTGAATTGTATGACATTGTATTCCATGTGTTGTATTGAATCAGTGCGTTTTGTACAGTATCTAATTGATTGTGTTGTATTGTAGTTGATTACGTTGGATTGCATTGTATACAATTGGATTTAATTGATCATTTAGTACTGTATTGATTAGTATGGTATTGTTACGTTTTGTACCGTATTTTAATTATATATCTTTTTGTTCCACGTTAGATACATTTTAAGGGTTTTAATAGAAGAGGTCACGCGAGTTAATATTTTGACTACATAATGGTGAATCGTTGTTAAAAATTGTAATTGTAACTAATTATAACTAACTACCTTTCGATATTATTCACAATAATTTATCCTTGACATGAATACTCTGTTGTTGACTCTAATATTGACAATACAGTGTTTCATTGTATCGTACTGTAGGCTACTGTAGTGCGCTTGCCGTGAAAAGTCAGTGGATTAATTATAGGCCTATATATATTTGAAAGCTATTACCCTTTTAACTCATTTTAATTATCAACCAATTTTAATTTTAATTATCAATTTTAATGCTTGTATGTGTGTTGTCGTGTGCTTTTCTTGAAGCTACGACTTCTTTTCCAATGTATATTTATTACAATCTGAACATTTTATTTGATGAATGCCTGATTTGTTCATATCTTTAATTTGGTTGTTACATGTTTCATTAGAAATTTTGTTTTCATCATCTGAAAGGCATTATTTTAAAAAGCATTGTATTCCAATGTCAAGCAAGGATTTTGAAAAAGAGAAAAACATCATCCTATATTAGCCTCAAATAATTGGCACAAATATTCCATAGTTGAAAAAAATATTCGAAAGAAAATTAAGAAGAAATTTGAAACACAAAGATCGTTTGAAGAAAACAATATAAAATAATATATTTGCATCCCCCATGATACAACCATAAGCAAAACAAGAAGAAAAACCTTCCAAAATTTAAATTTGAAATTAGTTACAAGACAAAAAATAATGCAATGCACTACACTGGAAATACTTTGCCTGTATTGTACGGTGTATTATGGTATTGTATTGTATTGTATTGCAAAGTACTGTACTACTACCTTGACGCACAAAAATGTTTAAAGAAACAAGCTTCAGATTTTATCTTTGATTATTTAATAGTCAATGAATAGCTTTAACAAACTTTATAATTCAACTACTTCCACCTTTTAAAGTCAATCTTGTTTCTTATCTCATGGTCATAACAGAAAAATAGAAGAGAAAATTAACCACCCAAAAGTTGCACTTGCAGCCAAAATAACTTGAATCGCTTCCAGGATAATTTAGTGAAGGTAGTTTAGGTTTGTGGAGTGGAGTAGCCTACGCTTAACTCTCTCATCCTCTGTGAATAAATCCTTTGAGGATTCGTGAGTGGGCGTTTGCAATTTGAAATGTATGATTCTGTGGCCAAACGCACCCATTGATAAAATACCCCCGCCGCAGCAAACCTGCAGACTAAGCGAATTTCAACTCGTCTGATTACATTTTTACTAAAATATTTCCATAAATAAGACATATTATTCCCTATTTAAATTATTCCCTATTTAACATTAGATTTAACGAGTGCTTAGGTTTGCTGCTGCGGGGAAGGTAAAAAGTGTTTTTTGACCATACGTCAATAGTATAGGATGAAATAAATAAATTTGCCAAATTTTATCAATATATACCCATAAACAAGTAAACTACAACAATTTTCATTTTCTCCATAAGAATAACATGGGAATTTTTAATTACACTATTTTTGAATTTTCTCCGTGACCGTTAGGCATACAACAGCGCTTCAATATACTAAATTATTTCTTTTTTTAAGCTCTACAAAACGGTTTGGAAAGAAATCGCAAAATGTTTTGTTTCTAGGTTCAAAAATGGGAAAAACACATTTTTACCCCATAAAACCCCCCATAAACCCCCGTTCCCATGGTACGATTATGCTGGATCGCGAACTCGTTCGAATAAACGTAGGTTTACACGTTTGTACCAAATTTCATCAAAATCGCATCATTTTTGCTCGAGTTATCGCGCTAACGGGTACTACGGTAATAGCTTATTCCCTATATGGGAAATTCGCTAAAA